GGGGCGTGAAACGGGGGTATAGGGAACCGGGGCCCAAGGGGAAATGAAGAAGATGAGGGGCGCGAAACGGGGGTATAGGGGCCCGGGCCCCAAAGAGAAATGAAGAAGATGAGGGGCGTGAAACGGGGGTATAAGGGCCCGGGCCCCAAGGGGAAATGAAGAAGATGAGGGGCGCGAAATAGGGGTATAGGGGGCCCGGGCCTCAAAGGGAAATGAAGAAGATGAAGGCAGCGAACCAGGGGTATAGGGGCCCGGGCCCCAAGGGGAAATGAAGAAGATTGAGGGTTGTGAAACGGGGGTATAGGGGGGCATAGGGTATATATATAGAGGTTATACGGATGACGTATAGTTATATACCCCTATATATATAAGCAAAGTAATGATGAAATTGAAGAAACTGTATATCTTCGCGCCCCATTAGTACTTTCTCAATTCAAAGCGCGATTTTTGAAAAGGTACAATTTTCTGGGAGCTTGGAGGGAAGCTTGGAATCCAATCAGAGGCAGAGCAGCATCTCGTCATGATTGATCTACGCCTATATTGATCTGCGATTAAAGGGAGGAACCCTAAATGAGCTCGCTTTTCAAACCAGCCTCCTAAGAGGCCGGCCATAGGAATTGGGTAAGCCTTTGATCTAGATAGTAGCTAAAGCTTCCAAATGAGTCAAGACAGTTCATTCAAAAATCCCACGCTGACCTATATCCCCCTTGCTTCAGACATCCTTCTTCATTTGAGGTTGCCTTCGCAATAATATTGTCGCAACAGCCACACAGGGCATTGTTCTCCATTCGTATCCAGCAAGGTCTACACATTAGTCATTGCTTCTCGATGAAGGGCTATCTGCTTTAGCCCACTGCACTGCTGCACAACCTGGAAGTTTCAATCACCAGACGGTCTGCCCAAGACTGGTATGCATAATGCGGTCTCACACCAATCTTCAAATACAAATCCAGTGTTCACAATCCGGAACACTTTGGCACGGCTTTCACCCGTATCTTCCAAAAGCGATGTGGACCCAGAAGTCAACAACACCTTTTGCACCTTCCAAACGCCCTACCTACCTGAGTCAATAATCACGGTCTGCGCCTGAGGTGGCGTGCCCACTCCAATTGAAGCGGTGAAAAGCGCGAGGCCGCACTGGTATCCTCCGGTCACTGGGGGAACGGAAGACGTGGCCGTAGAAACCGGGGACGCGACTAGCACCGCAATGTTCTCGCCACCGGCGCTGCTCTCGGGGTTAAATGACCGGGCCGATACTGATATTGATGGATCAGGGCCGCGCTCGATCTTGGTCAAGGAGAGCGAGGAAACCGCCTCTGGCAGCCCGCTCGCGAGCAGAGCGCGCTTTCCCAGCTGATGAGCTTGTGGCGGGTCCAGATTGCCTCCCGCAGCACTAGGGATAGCCCGTGCAATCACCGCGGTAGAAAAATGATGGAGATCACGAGAAGGGCTGTTAGGGGGATGAGAAAGGTCCGTGAAGAACTGGCGGAAACTCCCACCATTGTTGTCGAATGCGGGCTGAGCTGCTGCTGGTCGGTGGCTTACCAGGGAGCTCGGCAATTGCTTAGAAGTTAGATTATGGGACTAATGAATGTGCTCAAAAGTGCTGATTGATGATGTGAAAACGGCCAGGCTTCCGCTATAGATACTCCGCTTTCACTCACGAGTCACAACACGAATTGGTGTCGATCCTTTTGAAGCGCAATGCCCACGACAAGGGACGCGCGCGATTCCTGTGGGAGGCACGCCACTTGATCAGGCGGTGGATTTGGTGTCTGGACTCTTGATCAAACAAACAGCTAATCTTTGAATCTTTGACACATCATCATGGCATGTGCTTGAGAAAAGGAAGGCATCAAGGTCGGTTGTCAGCTAGTGCAATTGTAGCTGGTAAAGCTACAGAAAGTAGCTATTAAGCCTACAATCCACATACCTAGTAAGTAACGCGCGCCATCTTACACTTTCCTCGTCCTAAATCTCCACTGACTCTGGAATCTAAATACGTACAGCTCCACAGCTCGTCACCCGCTCGTCTGACAGAAATAAATCCAACAATCCGGTACGTGGCTGTCACAGCTGTCAGGCTGACATCATACCGTAGGCTGCAGGTGCAGGCTCCGCTCCTCGCCGGCGAGTCCTCGGGCTAGAGGCTATACGGCGTGGCCAATACCGTACCTAGGTTCTAGGTACCGTACGATATCCGTATGAGACCCGGAATCCGGACTTCCGTTCCTGATCTTGATGCTACGGCGCAGCTACGCTGTGACTGCCAGTTGGCGCGAGCTCGTAGCTCGCCGTCATGCATGTTGACAGATTGTTTCACACTGCACAGGGTCGAGCTCGCCCGGTTGCAGGCAACCGCGCCGGGGACCGACGGCCGGCCCCCGGGGCCCGGGGCCAGGACGTTGGAACCCGAAGCATGACGTGTGATATGTTGTCATCTTCATAGATGTCGACAGTGGACAGGGTACCTATACTATGTTGTCATCGGCGACGGCGCCACTGCGCACGGATTTATAAGGTACGTACCGGTACGGCAAGAATGACTAGATCGTTGACTCGACTCATCTTGCCCCCCGACTCCCGAGATCCCTGGCCCAACTTCCCAGGTATGTTGAAGTGAACGGAATCTGACAGGCGATTCCGCTCGTCAGGTTAAGTTCCGTTCATAAGCAGCGGACTGAAACAGGCGGTATAACCATCCGCGCGGCGATCAAGACAGCCTTAGTCAGACAAGCAGGCCGTGCAAATCCTTAATTAAACTGATGAACAGCTGATCAACCTCAGGTTAAAGCCCAGATCCATCCAATCCTGAGACAACCAGGCTCACAGAATGAGACGGACAGAACGGAACTTCAGAATCAAGTCAGAATACTGCAGGCTTGTCCGACGACGAGGATCAATCTCAACGGATTCATCACAGCTTGCGACGATCAATGAGTGCACATATATCAAATCCAAAAAAGGAGCTAAGTCGTCTGTCAAGTCAAACGGATTTTGATGATCTCACTGTTCATTTTCAAGATAAGGACAAGGCGTCAGATCCTCCAAGTCACGTCCGATCCAATTGGCTCACGGGCCGGACCGACGATACTCACTCTGTAGGAAGCCCGTAGGAAGATTCAGATGCCAACGATATGTATCGAACTGGAGTGCAGAACGGACTCACTGTGATTCAGTACTCCTTAGGAGCTCTTCTGGTACTTCTCTTCCTCTTTCTGTTAACGGGGCTGAAAGCGCCCTGATCTGAGAGTGATACGAGAATTCCAAGTCTGGCAATATATTAATGAAGTTCGAAAACAGAAAGGGGGGCCAGGGCCGGGGGCCCGGGGCGCCGGGGGGCTGGCTGTCAGGCTGTGCTTCGTTGAGAAAGCAGCTTTTAATTGAAGGATTCAGAGATATTTTGCGTAGGCAAAAATTCCAAGACAAACAGTTTCAGGTGGCTTGTTTGTCGCAGACAAGCTGACTGTAGATGTATATAAGACCGGTAGACAAGTTCCACTTTTGCACCGACTGATTCATACTTGGGGTAATACTGAAGTGGCTTCATTGATTAAAACATCCATTGCACTGATTCGTCATGCAAAAGGTCTTCATATACTTGGCTGGTCGGGCATGTGCTTAGAAGCGAGGACGAGTCCTCGCTCACTCCTCAGACGCAATCTTCACATGTCTGTCTTCATGTTAATCATTGCATTCTGGCTACGCCATCCATACCCAGAGTTTCCCACGGATCGAGTTTCGTCCTTGCCGGCCAGCCGCCGGCGCCCCGGCCCCCCGCTCGGTAGTCAGTACTTGGCATATATAATAGCGGCTGGCTGAGCCCACTTAATTTATTGCCTGCATTTTCTGCCGGCTACCGAATAGTCGGCCGGCACGGTGCCCTGCAGCACCGGCGCGGCCGGAGAGGGCGGGTATGTAGAATAGGATCCAGAAATTGATCTCAGATTTCCAATCTCAGGACTTTTCCGGATCTCATGAAGCGATAGCGTAGGGGGGTGCACTCTGCCGGTAATGTATTCCCTGGCTTGCCTATCCAAAACTGTCCGGAGTGTCCGGCAGAAGTCAGATAGTCGATCGGATCGAGCCGTCCGATATAACGCTCAGGGCTCAGATTATATGAGTTGCGCCCGGCGGAGATGGCACCTGTGGCTTTCCAATTCTGCGAACAGAAATTTCAGATGCGGGATTCTGAATCTAATCCTCCATACTAGCCGCCCTTTCCGGGTCCAGTGATCCGGGGCGCTGCGGGCCGTCAGCGTTTTAAATGCCAACGGCATCAGCATATCTACGTGTCAGTAGCGCGTCGCGTCACGCGCTACTGATATTGAGACTACGAAACATGCTCCTCGGTCCCAAAGTCATCATGAACGTCGCCCGTGTCTGTTTCAAAGCAGGATGCATAATGGCCCTTTCAGCAGGGCGGCGGTACTGGGCCTCAAACAAGGCAGAGACTCAAAAGCACATAAACTCGAAGCAAACAGTTTTGAAGACAGACTTTTAGAGCCGTAAACTTTATGAAAGATTTTCAGCTTTACCATCAAAGAGTGTGCTTAGCGACATCTTGTGTGGAATTACGGCTTCGAACGATGTGTTAGCTCAAAAACTTACTGTCCTCAAAGACCCACTACATACCCAGTGTGCTGCGCGCGCGTATGCGCGCCAACCAGCGCCGATCGGCGCCGACTTGTAAACCGGCCTGTGAACCGGAACCAATAATTGGTGGCAACAACCCCGTCAAGTGTGAATCGATGTTAACCAAGTGGCTGAAGTCGGTGACGTCACAACATGGAGGCCGCCAAATCCGAGAGCGACACGTGGCTGTTAGTCCGGAAGTCTCTAGAAACAGTAGAAAGTGCCCGGAAGCTTCGTAGCCTTCCGGTAGAATCCGAGCATAGTACCCGGTACATTACCACAGAGAAGCAACTTGATTCTTCTACTTAGGATAAAGTAGATGCGGGGTCGGTTGCCAGCGTGACTTCTGGTCGCAGACTGCCCGCGATAGGCTAGATGAGAAAGAAAGACAAGAACAAAGAGAAGAGACGAGAAGATTTTAAACATCCTTTCCTAGAAGAGATTTTAGAAGGAATCCACTTGCGTGTGCCTTGCGGCCACCAAGTGCTTGACCCACAGCTATTCTACTTTCATTGCGTGCCGACCAGCTTGCTTTGATGAATGTCTTTGCTTTGTGAACACTATGCGTACGACCTGACGTTGTTCTGATTCTGTGTTACTGTGTGCTTGCTGTGACTGACCTACCCAAACCAAGCTGCATGTCATGCAACTCCTAGATGTATTAATGACGTACCTGTCTGCATCATATACCTAGCACGTTTCCGAGCAAGGCGATTTCTAAGGTAACAGATGGAGATCAAATCAGTCGCTGGATCAAGAGCGCACGTCACGTGTATCTACTACGTTGAAACCACAGCAGTTCATATAGCGCTTGACGTCATCAATAAAGGGGGATCAGAACGGCTGATCCCGGACGTTCCTTTTCGCTGCCAATAGTTTTGGAAGTTCCAAATCGATTGATAGGCAGAATGTAGGAGGTGGACACTACCATGAGCGGAATAGCTTCGCAACCTAGTTCAGAGTTTGCATGTAAGCTGCTATTGGAGTTTTATTTCTTTACGATCAGAGACCTGGGAGTTTCATTTTATAAGTTGTTCAAGCTCCTTCTGACCTCTGAAAGTTCTTCATCGCTGACTAATCATGAGCTTGCCGCAAATGTACGAGATATTACTCCAGTATATAGTACCCTTCATGGCCCACAAGAAAGCTCGACAGGCAGTCTCGATACCCTATTTATATACCCTGCAAACGAGCTGCCTTGGTGGTACATTGCGATCCAGCATTTCCCGTTCAAAAATAGCAACGTCGTTCCGTCATGCTAAAGAATGAGTACACTGAGTTGATTCAACCGTTCAGAAGGCACGCATTTTAGCCAGCACTACGGTGGATATTCGTAATCTTTATGCCATGCCCGTTTAACCTGTAGCAAAATCATCCCTAGCTGCAGAAATAGAGATGGGCATCCTCGTTCTTTGCTTTTGGCTGGGCTGGCTTCTGCACAAGCCGCCATGTCGGCCGGAGTGCAGCACGATCTAGAAGAAAATTCGAAACGTACGTCATAAAACATTCGACTAAAACTTGGTCGGGCAAGCTGTTTCACCGCTTACGACCCTAAGTTGAACTCGTCCGCCAGAACAACCGACTTTCTAGGCGCGCAAAACCGTCTTTCATAGACGGCAAAGCGACCGGTGCTTCTCGTCTGACATATTTTTGCAGCCCTTATAACACAATTCAGCTCGTTTTCTCGCCTGCACCAATTGCCAATATATTCAGATTTTAAAAAGTGCTCAGGTTTCGGGTTCTATTCTATGCAGGCACCTCTGATAGCAACTGTTATCCAGGCCTCGGACTCCATCGAGCGCGAGGTTCGATTACAGGAGCGATATATTCGTTCTAGAAACGAGAATGTCCATTAATGATCGCCCAATAATCAACCTATTGGTCATGCCGTGCAAGTTACGTGACCCTCTGAATTCCCCAATGCGTCCAATCTCAACGTCTCGATCGGCTCTACTTTTTCAGAGACGGACGGTTGAATTGGGTGCGGATTCCACTGAGGGCGTGAGCGGCACTCCGCCGGACCCGTCCATATCCGTCGCCGCCGTTTTGGGCGACCCCGGCCTGACTCCCGCCAGCCATTCAGGCGCCCGAAAGTCGGTCTGGCCCTCCACCGCGTCCAGCATAGGGGGCAGCGAAGACAGGATGTTCCGCAGGGGGGTCAAATCAGCGCTCGCGTCGCCCCCCCCGGGACCGGTGTTCCAGATGTGAATTTTGGGCGACATCCCGCGCACAGCGTCCGCGGTGGTGGTCGCCATCTTTTCGAACAAACCGCTCTACAGCTGGAACTTGGCCAGATCCGGACGCTGCTCGGACGCGGCCAGGAGCCGCGACAGGCCGTCCGCCTGCGCCTCGAAGGCCGCGAGCGCGCCGTCCGCAGCCGCGCGCGCGGCGTATAGCTGCGCGTCCGCGAGCCGCCGCGTGGCCTCCGCCTGGCCCTCCGCCTCCTTCACGGCGCTCTCCGCGGCCGCGATGGTCTTGGCCACCTGCAAAAAGAAGTTTGAAAAATCTTATGCATGGTCCTTCCGGAGGGCCTTCTCAATTTCTGAAAATCCTCTCGAGGTTTTGTTTGTAAACGACTCCCAGAATGAAGGAGAAAGGGCTTGCTGACAGGCCAGGGAGACGACTGTCCAGCAACTCGCCAACGCACTGATATTCGTAACGTGGATCTCATGTTGGCAATCGGTTCCTTGTGCGCGCGAGGTTTGCACCCGGGGGCGCCCCGAAGCTCTCTGCTGACCCTGAGGCCTGAGCCGATGGAAAACCGCATGGAGCCAGCAAAACGCCGCAGCTCCACAGAACAGACTGAGATTTAAAACACCAGAATCACCACCAGGAAAGGTTTGAGCCAATCGTTTCTCATCACCTACTGGAACAGTTGCATCTGTAAATAATTCTACTGTCCGCTCGATCAACAGTGTATGCTTCCGCCGTCATGTGGAAGTCTGAAGGCACGCAGAAAAAAACAAGTCAACAAGTTCTTTCCTCGCCCTCTCCTGCGTTGGCTTGATCAGAGGAGCTTGATGTCGCTACAAAATCCCGCGCGGTACCTGCGTAGCGGCCACGAGAAACGGAGCGCGCAAGTCTTAAGGTCTTTACGTCATCATGCCCTAGGTCTCCTTACCTGCGTCGCCTGGAGGTACGCCACCTGCTGCGCGGTGCGCGCGCGGTCCACCTCCGTCTCCAGCTCCGCCTTCCGCTTGTCCGTCGCCATGCTGACGTCGATCTCCGTCAGCAGGCGCGCGCGTTCACACTCCGCGCGCACCACCGCGAGCTCCTTCTCCGAGTGCGCGACGCGCTGCGCGTTCTCGTTCTGCTTCTCCACGATCGTCGCCTTGATGTGCGCGACCTCCTGCGCGGCGCGCGACTGGCGCTCGCGCTCGCCGATGTCGCCCTGCATGCGCGCCTCGGCCACCTGACGTCGGAAAGCGGAAAGGTTAGAAACTGGGTTTCTTGTTGAAGTCATACTGTCTGCTTTGGCCATTTATTCTGGCGGGGCTGCCCAGCATAGGAACAAAACTTGGGGCGCGCCGGAGCGGTTGCCGCGGGACCAGATAGCTTCCAGAAAGCTTCTCATTCCCGCCAAAGGACTCTCATGATTTCCACTCTCTTCTTCCAGAACTAGGTAGGGCTGTCGAATCATACTCTTAGAGTTAGGTTGGTCTTGCAGCCTTCATTGGAAGCAACGTCTATAACGCTCATGGGAGGAACCGCGGTTTGATACTAAGGATACGATAAGTCCCTTGCGCGCCTTCAAGCTTTCGGTGCACTTCGGATGCCGTTCCTTATCTTTTGGGATGAACATGCCGTAGGCGGGGCCGTAACGAAAGCAAAGAGAGCAGTCGCTCTGATCGTCATCTCTTGATGACACAAGACATTAAAAGCAGAAAACACGCTCAAGGAATGTGAGATGAACAAGAACACAGCATTGTTCCAAGGCCGACCTGGATCCGCATCTCGGTGTTGGCCCCCTCGAGCGCCTTCTGGCGCAGGTTCTGGAAGTAGCGCGTCTTCTCGTCCTGGTCCGCCATCTCCGCAATGTTGGCGTTGTAGATTTTCAGCCCGTACTGCGAAGAAAATGACGAGTGCAGCTCAAAAGAGTCTTCCCTAGTCTCAGAAAACACTCAATGTTCTCAAGGCATCTGATCGATTGTCTACTTCCTTACTAAAATCATTTCTACCAACATTACAGTAGTCTAGCGTTTCTTGCGGCCTTCGAAGCAACCGTGTTCCATTGCACACAAGGCAGATAACAGAATCCTTTCAATCAGTAGGGGGATTTGAAGACGAGAGGAGGTTAACTAAGATAAAATCATTGTCCGCTTATGGGCTTACTGCATTCATGTCCTGCTGAATCTTGTCTGACACGGTCCGCTTAAACTTCTCTCGGTCCTCGAACATCTCGCGGATGGTCAGGCCGGCTGAGAACACGCGCGTCTCGCCTGCAAGAAACACAATGAATCAGTAGAGCATCGGAACAAGGGGCAAACAACTTCGCGTCGCCCATTTGCGCTTGGACACCTTTGAGGTCCATTCGCGCCCCCCGCGCGTGCCCGGCAATTCTGACTCCTCGATCAAACGCGTCCTTGAAAAGCTCGAAGGAAAGTACGCAAGGAGCCGTAAACGCGTATTCGCCTGATAGTGTGACAATAGCGATCGAAGCCAGAAGGAATATCTAGTACATGGAACATGTATCACTACGTCCAGGTAGTATGTGGCAATTTTGCTTCCACCCCTCTCCTTCTCACCTGAGCCTTCAACACTTATCGCGGCCGTCCTGTTTTCTTCTCAACTACGTGTCCCACTTCTCATAACATTCGGATCACAGATTCGTCCTTGTCGTTAATCTACGTGGAATCAATAGTGTGCCAATTGGGCGCCTCACCATGGATGACGCCTCCAATCGTGGCCTCCACTTTGGCGGGGTCCAGGTCGCCCATCTTGGTGGCGTACGTCTTGAAAGCGGCCAGGTCCTCGGCGGGGTCCTTGGGCCCGATCGTGAAGCTCACTGCAAACGGATCAATCCGAATTATCTTGGTTATTAGTGTCGTTATTTGAGAAACGCACACTGGCCAATTGACCTGTCTAAGTACACTGGCGGGTGGACAGTCGGGCATAAGGGAGTGATACAGGTCCTCGGCGGGGGGTCTTTGGGGCCGATCGTGAAGCTCACTGCGAACTTGGAACGCTTATTGTTTTGCCTTCAGTCTTGAAACAAGTGTGATGCTCGAAAAGCACAAACGGAATTACTCAGTTCAAATGCCTTTCCACACTTGCAACTTTCTCTTGGGCTGACTGGACGCGTTCAGGGAGTAGGTGATATCAGAAGCGGGAAAGTCGTTACGTGAGGATTTCTTCCTCTGTTTATACGATTCCACTGGGGCTTACAGTAGCACGCAAGGATCTATTTTTGCCTACACAGGTGGTCATGTCCAGTATGAGGGAAAGCTTGCAAAGAAAGCGTAAAGGAGACTATAAAATGATATAAACAAGATCAAAAGTGCACTATAAGAAGTTGGATGTGACCAGCGGACAAGTCTCAGCTTCTCCTGGCTCGCCGCCAAGATGTTACGCGGCGGATAAGCATGCTGCAATGTATTCCTTCGAAACATAGAAGGTGAAAACAGAAGGGTAATATAAACAGCTTGTGAATGAGGTTAAAAACTTACCAGGCAGTGGAAAGGCACCATCTCGGATGACATGTTATGAAGATGGAACGTGTAGTTTAACGGGGCCATGTTGAACGTGCGTACCTGGACAGAGTCGAAAGCGAGCAACCGGACGAATTATGCATCATATTGATCCCGTCTTCCGTGAAGATAATAATCAGTTCTGTTACGATCCTTCCAGATCTGGGCTGTTTGTTAGTGATAGGAATGGAGGTGACATTAGAGAGGCAAAGAAAGAACCCCGGGTTCTTTACGATTCGGAACGTGAACTGCAAGTCTGACGTGCCCGGCCACCGCCATGTATTCGATCCTCAAACGGGCCTTCACCAGATCTTGTTGAGGTTCATTTATTTGAAGGACCTCTCCATATCTATGCACTAGCTTTGGGCCGAAGAAACAACGGTCCAAAAGCAAAAAGATAAAGTTCTTGTGTCGTTTACCTCCTAGAACGGCGACTGCAAAAGTCTGCGCGCCACCGCCATGATATCCTTGACCCCAGCCTCGTCTACAGGAAGCATTGACGGGGAGTGCCCAAACGTCTATGCTTAGAATCTCAACCACTAGCAAACAAATGGACAGCGGGCCCAAACGACGAAATTAAGTTGTTACTTCCTTACCTCCTGGAACGGAAGTTGCAGAGTCTTGCGCGCCACCGCCATATCCTTGATCCCCAGCCCCGTCTTGACCAGGTACTGACTGGGCGGGCACACGTGGTACCGGTAATATGCGAAGCACGCGAAGCCGCCCACCGCGGCCGCGAGCGCGATCTTGCCACGGTAACGCCATACCTTCTCGAAGAAGTTGGGGCCTTCCGGCTCGGGGCTTGGAGGAAGAGAAGAGGTGTAGGGAGAGGGTGGGTAAAGGGGATCAGCTTGAGTCCCGACCGTTCCCATTGGATTACCAGGCGGAGAAAAATGGATAAAGTGAAGAAGGGGAAGGAAAGAAAGGTTATGTGACGAAGTTTGGAGGGAAGATGCCAAAGACGAAGCTACATGAGAAGAGAAGGTGGGGAGAAATTCAGGAAGCGCTGCCAGCGACTTTGGAGATTTTGGTCAAGATGAAGAAGAAAATGGAAAGGGCTTCACCGACTGATCACATCAAGGAATTCGAAGCTGCCCTCCCCGGAAACAAGAGCAAGTCAGGCGCGCTTGCTGGTTCGTACATACAAAAAGCGTTTAGAAAGTTTTAGCGCGCAGTCGATTTGAGTCTGGTAGATGTTGATCGTGGACCGGTACCTCCACTGCTGTCGACGTCTCGGAGCATCAGCACGCGACGCTATCAGAGATAGGATAAATGTCACCTCTGACACTGGCAATCACCCGGGCCGGTATGAGCTCGCTGCACGCGCGTTTTGGGCAGCCAAAATTGTGAAGTTTTGCAGGGGCTAGAGATATACCAGATGCCAGACGCTGGGACATAGGATTGTTATCCTAGCTCTAATCAAACTGAACGTAGGGCTTCCGCTAAAACAAACTAGTAAATATCTCCACAGGCAGCTCCCGAAACGGTGTCGAACTAGAGGGTGCGACACCGTGACCCTACATGAAATTTCTTGGTCACATCAACGAGCTGTCGAATAGGTGTCGCGACCAGATCGAACGATCATTAGCGGAGCCATCGTGAGACACCGTGCAGAGTTTCCGACCGTCCGATACCGCGCAAGTTGGCTCGGCCATCGTGCGCGGATGCGTTATAGTCGGAACGAGTTCCGTCGGAGCTCGGGCCTTCAGCTAACTTGATTCCTACATGGAGGATATGGTAACGCATCCTTGCTTGAAGCTTGTTTACAGCCTCTGGAACTGAGCCGTATCGTTTGCTAGGACACTCCAGCGTATCATTCAGTCTTGTACCCAGTGCCGCCTCGATGCCTGCATCGTAATGCTCAGCTCCAAGCGCAAGTTTGCCTGATTGAATGATTGCCATGAGCATGCAGCACAGTCGAGCGGACGCAGGTCAAGTTGAAAGCAACAAGAACAAATAGGTTTGGACACAGAATTAGACACCATCATGATTGCGGTCCGGTTTATGCTTGGAGTGTTTATCAGAAGCCGAGAGGTAGCTGCGGAAATATGGATTCCTTTACCCTCGAGCTAGCCGCTTTCAGCATTCATCAATCGTCTGTGACAAAGTCTATATAGATAGTACGGATTTGGGGTGACGTGGGCTCGACCCTGATATACTCGATCGCAAAACTAAGAGAGTGACCTTTCATTTAGTTCGCCAGTGCAATTTGGTATATACACTCGCGGTAACTGGATTAAATTGTTTGTCAGATTTGACGTACTAGGCGGATCAAACCCGACGGGCTGACCAAGGAGTCCTTTCGTTTTCCCTAAAACGTCTACGATATGGCGGAACGATCCAAGCGATCCGGCTGTCGGCAAGCAGCATACCAAACTCAAACGTTGTATGTTTAAGGATTGTGAAGCCTTTTTTCTGTTCTTTTGAATTCTACCTTTCCTCACCATGACGGGGCATGCACTTAATCACTTGAGGCCGGAGACTGAAACAGCAGGAGACTCGACGTTGCCAAACGAGGTGGGCGGTAATTCTGGCTCAAATTCCAGTAAGCGGATTCAGAGGAAGCTAAGTACCGGCCAGAACTTAGAGACAGCCCACTATACGACATCCCGGCATTATTGTCGTCCGGTCCTGGCAATATATACCGGCCGGCATAACATATTAAAATAACTTAGTAGATCATGATCTAATTTTGGCTGGGGCCAATGGAAACGAGAAGAGACGCATGCGGAACCGTCGATCGTCACGTTTATCCCATTGTCATAAAGAACCTTAAAGAGCGCGGGCTTATGTGAGATTCTTCCGGCAAATAACAAGTGCCATGAGTCTAATTAAAAGGACTTGGAACAGGCGTGTCTGCTATCTTTATCAGGGTTTCGGTTCAACGTACCAACATTTTTCCTAGCTACTTTGACGAACCTCGCAGCCTTCCTATAGGAACTTCGACTAGCTATATGCCACCAATCAATACTTGTTCTACCAGCGCGCGCTACTTTCAAAGAACCTGCTCCAGAGCACAGGTCATCACCGGCGTTTCGCACCCCTTTCCACTGTGCGCCATTGGCTGATTTGATGCACGTCCGGCCTGCCAATCCTGATCTCGATCATTCGTATATTTACTTAGCTAGACAATAGCGTATCCGACCGATACTGTCCCATAAATACCTGTCTACCGAGGCGTTTCAGATCCACCGTCCAAAGCTGCCTCCCTCCTCAACCCTTGCCCATTCGCAACATTCTCCCCCCGGTTCCCTTCAACCGGGGACTCGTCCCCCCCTTCCCGCGCTAACACACTAACCACCCGGTCTAGAACTAACCGTCCCCCGGTCACTTCTTCCCCGCTCCGAAGCATCCCTTCTCGACCCAAAGGCTGGATCTCCGCTTCCATACTGGGATCGGGTTTGGGAGTCGGCTGCTCCTGGTGAGCCGGGGGAATGTCCCCGGCAGAGTTGGGCACCTCGAGCGGAGGCGCTCGGCATAACCGGGCAACCATGGCGTTCTGTGCAACGTGGGCGATTTTAGGGTCAGCATTTTCTCATGTGAGTGAATGTCCCGTCAGCCCGGTAACAAAGCCTGGTGTTCGCGCCATTGTCAAAGGAATGGTAAGTACGTTCTTTCCGGTGTGATTTTATAGGAGCGCGTGAAGATACTGGCAGATCCATCGCAGAGCGCCTCAAAAGGTGCGGCAGATGACGCCGCACCTTTCTCCAGAAGCAGTAGGCGTATCCGGTTTCCATCATTGACTGTCTGACTCGATGCAGAGTACTTTCTGATATTGAGACAGGAGTGCACCCAAGCATAAATTGTTCCGCTCAGTATATTGCGAGCAACTCACGTTTTATACTGTGAGCTTACAGAGCTTTTGGTTTTCAAAAGGTGTTTCCGTTTTGTGCACTTAAGGGAGGTCTGAGGACTCACCACCTCTCCATTCGGCATCTCGACCGCCACGTACACGTCCCTGACCTTGTTGATCTCCTGCAGATCAAATCATAAGCCCCTTAAGCGACAGAAATTTGAGAGATGAGTCAAATCTGGCGTGTGAGATGGCGAACAGGAGAAAGAACAACTTTCCGTAACCTGGCCGCTTGCTGCACACTGTTTTAGAGGACCTACTTTTCATTAACCTCGTAGATCCCCGGTCACCGCGCATCCTAACCGCCCCCAATTGCCCTGACGATTCTCTCCTTTCCGAAGATATGTCACAGTACTCTAAGGCCCCTTTGGAGAGCCCTCATCCGTTTACAAAACGATCTTCAAACGCGTGCGCCAGAGAGACCGGCGAGGTTTTCAACGAAGCCGCTTCCGCATTTACTGCCTGTCGTGGCCGGTCCTGCCCGTAAAACACGTGTCTCTGTATGCCCGCTCACCTGTCGCCGCTGCTCTGCCGCGCTTGCCTCCAGTTCCGCTCTTCTCGCGGCGACCACCGACCGTACGCGCTCCATGTTCTGTCGCTCCGAAACGCAGTCCCGCCGAGACTTGACCAGGAGGAGGGCCACGAAAAACTGGCAGAGTACAAAAATTGGCCAGGTCAGTTTCCAGCTTCGCCCACTTTTGAAACCTGGATTTTGACGCTAACACAAAAGTGAGTACGCTTTCATCCATTAACGGATGCTGCTAGGGGATCCGAAGCGGCTTGAAAGGGGCGTAACGGCAACGTGCCTTGGCGTCCCTCTCAAAGATCCAGAGGCGCTTCGATCAGCAGGTCGACTCGACCTCTCTTTTCGAAGGGACTCTTGGCAGCGGCGATAAGTTCGCATATTCCCTTTTGCCAGAGAATCATTCTACGCGCCCTCTCTCGCACATCCTATTGCTTCCATTCCGGCCCGTTTAGCGTGGAACGAATAAGGACTTTGCTTGCGTTTCTGGTCCAATAATCGCTTTGAGTCCTTGACCTCTCCGTGCTGCGGAACGTCGTCCGTAGCTTCCTCTGTTTGTGGAAACCACTTTCAATCAGAAGCGCTACTAAATGCACTTTTATTGCACGGAAGGTCCGGCCACTCAGGATACGAGATGGGCCTTACCTGATACGAGATAAGAACCGCGTACATCGCAAAGGGCGCAACGCAGGAGGCGGTCTCGTACGGCTGGCTCGTCATGTAGAGCGCGATTGACGTCACTGAGAGCGGCACTTGCAAAAGGGAGTACTGCAAGGAGACGTGAGGGCGGTAATATCAGTCAGCATAAGTCTGAATACTTTTGAGCTGCTTCCCCTTACAGCCCTGATGACTGCCTCACGGTTTGTGACGCGGAAAGTAGACCGGCCCCCTGTTGGAGGACACTTGTAAACCGCGGAGCCTCAGGCGCCGCCACTTGTCCGCAAGAGAGCGCTCTGGACGATGCGCGCGTACTTTCTAATTGTTACAGAACTGCATGCTTGTCGACCGACAGTTCAACCACCAGTCGAGTGACCCGTCTAAGCTGCCTCAAAGGTGCTGATGAGCCATGCAGTTTGCAATAACTGAGGAGCTTACGCTCGTTGCGCCTGCAAGAAACCTGAAGGGTTTTTATCAACGTGGCTGAGCAACTCCAGATTTCTTCATTCTCACGCCCACCATGATGGGAATGGACTTGAATTTTTTGAATCGGGTCTCTCACCGACGCTGGGAGCAGCCCAGTAGAGCAGATGAACGACATGAGCTCGACCGCACGGTTCAGCATCAGCGGATACAAGTGCCATGCGAAGTACTGCTGAAAGGCGACCTGGTAGCAGAGCACGCCCACTATTGCGACCTGCGGAATGGAGATACGTCGGAGATTAAGAGCCCAAAACCGGTGATAGCGACTTTATAATCATGTTGTGAGCTGCGCAGCGGGAAGGGCTGTCGCGAGACTAAGACGGTGCTCGAGCCCTCTCCAACTGTGCCATTTTTGGCAAACAGCTGGTCTCAGATCCTTCTTAGGCTACACTTTAAGCAGGAAAACTGATTGCATCTCCATTTTTGCCTGCTTTCATTTCCCCAAGCTGATATGGTGGGCACGCAACGGTTTTGAATCGACCAGATGATTTGTGATGAACAGAACAGACCAGGCGAAAGAAAAGAAACGAAAACTACGAATGCAACTGGAGTCGCTCATGCTGCTGCTCAAGGTGACCCTGAGCATCCATCATTATGAAACGTGTCAGGCGCTCAGTACGTTACAGCAGCAATTCACTCAGACTCATGTCTTATTTCCTGTGCACGTCGGTGGGTCCACTCACCATGTCAATGAGACTCAACACGCAGAACAGGACGACAGTTCTGAAGGGAGTCATCGCGCCCCCAATCGCAAATTCTGCCCCCCGGCGCGGTCTGGCCCCCGCAGCTTGCCGTGGAACAGCACTTTTCAAAACGGCTATGCGCTTCTCTAGTAAAGCAAACCGCCCAATGCCAAGCCCATCCAGCCCTTGAAGAGGGCGTCACAATGTTGAAGCAGTTGATGTCGATCAAATTTATCCTTGCAATCACGTGTCTGCAATGCTGCCGCAAAGCGCTATAAAGTTTCTCAGTATTTCACCAGGGGGAATTGGTGTTAGCTGGCAGGGACTATATGTTTGCTGTCAATTTTAAGGAACCGGGCCCCCAAGACCATTGTCCAGACGTATACAAGATCCGATGTCTTTTAGACACACAGAGCTTTCTGACTCCCCCAAATCTGATCTGGCGGCCTCTCACGTGAGGGCTGTGGTGCACTGCGGGCACTATATGTCCGAGAAGCTAAAGTACCACTGGGTGATCCCTTTCATGTTCTGCGATAAAGTTGGTTGTTCAACAACGCTGCCCTTCGAGTCAGGTTCTCTGAAGAAGGCAATACTAGTGGTATTGCGCCTGCAATATTGCCTGCAGGCTGAACATTTTCGTTATGCCGCAACTTGCAACTTTTGAGCGCCTCGTTGCATTCAATGCCGCACTCGACCTCTTGTAGAAAGGGTCAGCTAGTATTTCACTACTAGCGGCGCTACTGCCTCGACCCAGAAGATGCAAGGTCGCAGGATAGATTCAGGCACAGCAACATTGAAGCCAGAGTCAGGCCGCATACAGATCCTAAAGCGAGTACTGGCAGAATATATGAGCTCACCTAGCCTTCTGCAGGCCGCGCTTACATACCTCCAAGGACCTGCCAGGTGTCACGCTTTCAGCGAGTGAGCTGCAATGCGCGGCTCTTTGAATCCTTGCAGCGCTGTGCAACACGACAGATCAACTGGGAGCTGCTCTTGGAAATCCCAGGTCGGGGCAGATCGCGATAGTTATTGAATTGGCATACCTGTACAAGAAACCTCGCGCATGAGGCTGTCGACACATCCTGCAGAATTATTTTGTTACTGTAGCTGCTATTCTACGGGGGCCAGGTATTTAAGGTCCAGCTTTTAGATTGCCTTGTATTTATCAACGATGAAAATACAATGTTAGACGGGTGCTCGGAGCACGCCCGGTTTGTTTTCACCCGGGGGCTAAAACCGTCGCCTGATACGCAGCCCTCCGACAAATCGATGAATCGGACGGGTGTTGCGCGTCGCCGGGTTTGAATCGGACGGTGTTCAAGTGATTCCAAAAGATGGCACAAAACCACATAACCCTCGCGCGACTGAGCCAAATTAGCCGGCCGCGTGCGCCAAGCGCAAGCTACCCGAGTACCGGTGCGCGACGGTGCCAGCGCTTCGACTTCAGGGCTGAACTTAGCGAGCTCAGCTGTTTGGAAGAGCGAAGCTGACTCAGCGGAGAGTCGCCCACGCGCACGTGAGCACGTGTGCACCTTGACATGGGCATTTGTTGACACTGACTTTCAGCTTTGCGCCCTTGCCCAAGACAGCAATTGAAACCTGTGTTAAACAGCTGAATGTGAACGTTCCAAACCACAATTTGCCTTCTCATTCGTAGTTTTCCAAGCAAGTCATTTAGCAAGGCGCGTTTTGGTGGTGCTCTGTGAGTCTCCCGAGCTCAGCATCCCAGCTCTTTCACTCAAAAGAAGGCTATCCCTTCTGTCGCGCCTTCTCGCACTGCCGGCGGAAAGTTCAGCGCTCTTCCCAAATCTCCCCAGCTCTCCGCGAATCTAGGGAACCACATCATGGTGACGTGGTGGCCAGCAGGGACGTGGCAGCGGCGGCAGGTCAGCGGCGGCGCGGCGCCTGAGGAGAAAGCCGACCCTGTGACGTCAGACGTGCAAGCGGTGACCTCAGAAGCGGAGGAGGGGGCGGAAGAGCATGAGGACTACCAGCTAACTTTGAAGGAGGTGAGGATTATCTTGCTGATTAGAAACTTTCTGGCTAAGGGATCTGTCAGATGAGCTGACTAGAGGAGATGCTCACAAGTTGCTCTGATGCCAACACATGTATTGTTGTTCTGGTAATCCAAGGTTCACTCACTCTCTTCTTACATGATAGAGTATTCCGGTCTTGTTCATGTAGACTCCGGGAAGATTGGCTTTCTTTCAGCAGTGCCACTTGAAGCTATGCACTGCAGTTTCTAATCATGTCAGGGTTTCATAGTAATCCGGTCCTTGCATGGTATAGGACTTGCTTTACTTTCGTTGATATCCTGAAGTTTTTGGGGCATGCAATATTCGGATTTCAAAGATCGCAGTGGACTCTCTCTCAATCATCAGCTAAGCTCGCTTCTGTTCTGATTATCTAACTCAAAGCAAACGTCCTGGAGAAATCGACACTTCTAGCTGGATTTTTCAATTTTTCTCAGCCCTATCAAACTCATTAGAACCATTACCTTAAACTTGCGCTTCAATAGTTGTTGGTCAACAGTGAAGTTGTGGTCTGCATGATAGGCGCGTCGCTTCTTCAGTCAGATGTTCAAAGTTTCAGAAAGACTGTAGTTTGCATGGCAATACTTTTAGATGGGCCACTGCTGATCCATGTAATTTCCAGTTCGTGATGCTCTAGGGTGAGTTTGTTCAACTCTGCTTAGTACGCAAGGAGGGGGGTCCCACCTAGTCAAAGATGGTGTTTGTTCACAATCTTACTGACATGCATCTGACATTCTCAGTATCATTCCAGGGCTCCTTATCAGACAAGTGGCTTTCAGATGCAAAGGCTTGCCAGGTTGCACTTACTTCCAAGAAGTGGTAAAGTTGGGGCATTTCCAGATTTAAAACCTAGCCTTCTAAGTGCAACCTCTATTTCCCTCTTTGTCGTCCATCTTTGTGTCCACGAACTTTTGTGTTCGTGGTTGAGGCTCTTTGACAAAGTAGCGCGGCTTTTGTCACCCTCCCAATATTGTAAGCCCACTTCTTCCACTGTTTTTCTGTTCTGTAACACTGATGCTGGCGGATCTATCTCACGTAACTGTTTTAACACCCCGTTTTGCTCTCTTAGACCCACATCGTCGTTTCAGCTTTATTCGGCTTGAACAAAGCCACTTTCCAATTTTTGAAGTCCAGAATTTCTTCTCGATCTTGTTTTCCCTACGAACTTTCCAGACTGCAGATCAGACCTTCCGTTTCTTGAATTTCAAGTCCGTGTATTCTACACTTTTCTTGGTACGAAATCTCAGGACTGCTGCTCAGACCTTCCGTTTCTTAGTCCTCAACAAACCATTACGTTCTTTCTACGGGTACTTTCACTCCCTTCTCATAAAACTTTGCTTTCAACCCAAGCTTCAAAACCCAAGTTTTGACCCTGCAGGCGATCCGCAAGGCGATGACGTCCGAGGACGTCAGCAACCGCCTGAAGGTGGAGGTGTGGTGCGGCAGCAGCGACGAAGGCTACATCTCGGTACGTACCACGGTCTTATAACTCTACCGAAACCCATTTTCTCGAGAGCCGCTCACCTACATTAAAGTCTGCGGCCAGCTGTTAGCGCTTCCCGTCTTCGAAACTTTGGTTCCATAGTACCAGGACCCTTAGCTTCTATTCTTTGAATCCCTTTTCCTTGTACCATGACGGCTGGTAATCCTCCTGGACAAACTTTTTGCTGCTCGGGTTTCTGCTTGCTGAGAGGAAGAAACAGGTGTTGGCAATCGCTTTTGGCTTCGGAATTACAGAAGGCGCCGTCTCACTCTCTTCAGGGGTTTTTGTAGTTTTTCGTACTGGGGGAGATTGTTTGAAAAAAAACTTAACACGGCTGTGAATTCTGCAACTTCCCTTTCTAGCTTTCCCCTGAGTGCCGCTGGATCTGGATTATGTAGGTTACTGCGTTCTTTGTATTGGTGTTCTCACTCCTTTGCCACTGTACAAGCTCGCAGGCTCCACTACATAACGCAAACTTTTCTACATCTACAAACCTTGGACTACAAAGCCATTTAACTTTGTTATTACAGTGCGCCTGCGAGTCCTGGAAGAAAAACTTTCAGCGTTTCGTTTTAACGTCCAGAAACGTGGGCTGACAACGTCAAGCTTTCTGATACTAGTCGCAACCGTCGATTAATAACGAACCATAACCCCTCCGTTTGTTCTTTTCAGGACGTACTCGCAAGTACCATGCACTACGCCATCTGATATGTTTAAACAGCTTGAGGTGCGAGCGTCCGTTTGTGTTCCCTTTCTAGGATACTGTTGCAAAGTTGGTTTCAGGGCCTTGAGTCTCAAAACAATAATGTTAACCACTCTCGTTAACCCTTTCAGGACCCGCCAGCGAGCCCCTCCTCTAGTTGGGACGCCCTCTCTGATGTCGACCCGCTGGAGCTCTCCCCGGAAGGCGAACTGCGTCCCACCAAATTCCCACCCGGCGCGGATTCCGTTCCGGTGCCTCCCCCGCTCACCTTTTCCGCTATTGACACCAAACCCGCAAACGACACGGAGGAAGAGGCGATCGTAACCCCTGTGTCAGTTCTACTGGTCGCTGCTGGTGACGGCGAGCTTGACACCAACCCTGAGGGGGAGACGGAGGAAGCGGCTTGCGAGCAGCTCGTGGTGTCAACCGAGGGTTCGCTGCCTGGAGAAGTGACGTTGGTGGAGGGCGACGTTATCTCTGGGGCTGAGAACAATGACCTGGCAGAAGGAAAAGGGGAGATGCCGGAAACAGAAGAATTGGAGGTTCAGACGAAGGAAGCTGGCAATCCTTCCGGTCGGATGCTGGAGAGCACAAACGGCGACGCGCAGGGGCTGGTTCCGGTCGCAGCCGTTCCGCTTCCGGAAGAGGAGAGCGCCACTGTTGGCGTCATCCCACAAGATTTAGAGAGCTTCAAGGAATTTCTTAAGCGATACTACATAATGAGACTCTCCCGAGAACAAGCGAGCGCTACGAAGAGGGAGACGCAGTCCGGAATGGATTCCGCTGAAACGGAAGCGGAACCGGAACTGGTGGACGAGCCAACCGGAACGTCCGGGGCTACGGCTGTCGCCACGGAGTGTGAAGGCGCTGTGGGAGGACTCGCCCCGATCGGAATGGATTCCGCAGAGGCGGAAACGGAAGCCCACGGCTTGGAGCGGAAAGTGAAGGTTGAGCCGGTTCAGAGCTTCCCCGTCGTCGTCGAGCAGACCGGTTGGGGACCGCTTCCGGTCGGTGCGTACCCGGTTGAAAGCTCTCAGCTAACTGGGGCTGAGGAGATAGAAACCGGGGCTGACGAAGGAACCCGGAGCGAAGAAGCGAAGGATGAAGATCTCCCGCCAAACGGCTCGGGTCTGGGGGAGGAGGTTAAGGTAGCCAGGTTGGGTTTGGAAGAGGAGGTTGAACCAACCGGGTGGGTTTCGGGTAACGAGATGCAGCCAACGGGATGGAGTCCAATCCCGGATGCCATGGCTGGTGGGAATCTGGAAGTGGCGGTGTGGGAAGGGGGGGAAGAAGGGGAAGCGGAGAACGAGAGCGGGGAGGAAACGGAGAACGAGAGCGGGGGTGGCGAGCTGCAGCCAACCGGGTGGGGTCCAATCCCGGATGCCATGGCTGGTTGGAATCTGGAAGTGGCCGGGTGGGAAGAAGGGGAAGGGGAGAATGAGAGCGGCGACGAAAGCGAGAACGAGAGCGGGAAGGAAACGGAGGATGAGAGCGAGGAGGAAGAAAACGAGAGCGGTGAGGAAAGTGGTGACGAGAGCGAGGAGGAAGAAAACGAGAGCGGGGAGGACAGCGAGAACGAGAGTGAGGAGGAAAGTGAGGCGGAGAGCGAAGAACTGCTCGATTACGAGGAGGAAAATGAGACAAAGAGCGAGCAAGAGTATCGAATTCGATACGAGAGCAAGGTGGCAAATGAGAAAGAGAGCGAGGAAGAAAGTGAGGCGGCGAGCGAGGAACTTCTGGATTACGAGGATCAAGAAGAGGAGGAAGGGAATGTAAACGAGAGCGAGGCGGAAAGCGAGGCGGAAAGCGAGAACGAGAGCGAGGCGGAAAGCGAAGAAGGAAGTGGGGAAAACGAGGACGAGGAGAGTGAGGTCGGAACGGAAGCGGAAGGGCCGGAAACGGACCCCGACATGCCTGACCTGATTTACGACACGTGGGACGACCAGGAAAGGGAGGGCGGAACGGAAGCGGAAGCGGAAGCGGAAGCGGCAGCGGAGCCGGAAAGTGATAAGGTCTGCGACGACGTGCCGGACCTGGTCTATGACACTTCAGATGATTTGGAAAGCGAGGTGAGTGACGTGTTCACGACGTCACGCATCTCAAGAGACTCTTCTTTTGCAAGTTGATCCCGAGGTTGTACCTACTGTATTGTCGAATCCAAAGCAACTTCTCGCCTTCGTAAGCGACACCGATCACGGCTGCAACAGTACCACTTTAAGTGGTGCCTAGTAGGACTTCGTTTAACGGAAAAAAAATTGTCAGAATCAAAATCTCAGATTTGGTTGCTTGACAAAAGTACTTCGACCGTTGTCAATGATGTCGAGCTTGTACTTTTTGCAGGACGAAGAGGAAGAAGACTCTGCGGAAGTATCGGCCGGCCAGAAGCGGCGCATCGCTCTGCAGGATCGGCACATCGCGTTCCTCAGTGATCGCTTGCGGGCGGCCCGGCACAAGATCTCCCAGGTGGGTTATCATAACCGTTTTTGTGTACTAGGAGTGACCTCTCTGGTTTGATGACTTGTTAGAATCGGGTTAGCTAGGGCTTCTGGAACGGAATCTCCCAGGTTAAAATTTTGGACGTTGTTACTCTAACCCTGTGACATGACGTTTTTGAACTGACAATGGAATCACTCTGGTTTGAGTGTTTGGCATGTCTCCTCCTTTCGGTAAATCTGGGGTAGCCAGGATTATGCTCAAAAAGGACTGAACGGTTGTTAATCCTTGCCTTGTTAAGATCTGGAAGTCAAGCCGATTTCGGGGTCCAAAGAAAGCTGAGACTGAAAGATAAGCGTTAACCTTTGCAGCTGGAGGAAGCCGAGAAGAAAGCGCGCGACGAGCGCGACACACTGGAGGTTCTCCTGAAAACCGCGTACGAGCGCCAGGATGAACTGAGTGACCAGGTGGGTTTAGTAACCCTTACTTCATCTTTAGCTGAGCGATCAGGTGGGCTGAGTACCACAAAAACAAACCCAACTTTAGCTGAGCGACCAGGTGGGTTTAGTAACCCAAACAGTAACCAACTCTAGCTCTGGGAAGAGAACGAGTCGATGTACGGGTGCTCGGAGAAGCTGACGCTGGCTGCAAGGGAAGTAAGATTACGAACGGCGCTTAAGAGTAATGGTTTGGAGACATGGGTGAAAACAGGCCGAGAATACAAAGTAGACGGACTACGGGGAATGACGGAACTTAATATTGGAGCAAGTGCAGACTTGTGCCTCAAATGCTGTAAAAAGGAAACTGCCAATCTCTGCCTGCTTTCAAAGTCAGGTGTCTCGATACTGCACCAACTAATCTATAGATTTGCAGGTCGATCTATGTGATCCCTCATGATCGTGACAACATTATGATCCCTCGATCGACAGTTTTCTTGCAGCTAGGGGCAGCCGCATCCCTCACTTTCTGTCACCTGCTACTATCCTTTTTCAGCCCATCAGAAGCTAAAGGGAGCCACGCAAACCCTTTCTTTCTTTCTTCCTTGGTTGCTTAGGGGAGTAGATTAAGTCATACCCGCTAATGAAGACAGGAAACCTTTCGACTGACTAAGGAATCCGATGGACTGAGAGAAGAACCATTTCGCGCAGGTTGCCATCCTGAACGATGCGCTCACCAGGGCCGAGCAGCACTTCGACAAGGTCGCCCGGCATCGTCATGATGACGTCAGCTACGTCCAGGCTCCCTCTTTCCAGGTCAGAAGCGGCACCCTTTACTGACACTGCCTAACATTCGATGCAAGGACCTTAACCGTTGCATGCTGCTTTTGAAACCATTTGTCCACCTACTTTGTAGCAATGTTTAGTTGAGTAATTACTTGACGGGCTATAATTGGGTTCAAATGTTGATAGAAGTCTCTGTTTGTTTCTTGAGCTGAGAAGCTCACTGCTCCGTACCTCCTCGAATCCCAGACTTGACCCCAGTCCACTGTTGTGCGACTATCGGAAGGAGCCTATTGGACTTGTGAGCTCAGAATGGAGTTACGCTGAGAGAAAAAGATTCCATTCTTCAAGTATCTTAAAGACACTCCTAACGGACTTCATCCCGGACTCCGCTCCGGAGCCACAATTACGAGGGGTAGGATATCATGATTGATTTGTTGGACTGCTGAACTGCAGGCGACGCAGAAAGAAGAAGAAACCCGCGACGATGTTAACCAGAAGGATAGGGAGCCGTGACTGAATTGTTGACATTCTTACTCTACAGAAAGAAGAAAAAACCCGCGACGATGTTAGCCAGGACTGGGCGTCAGCTTGGGACGGCGGCCGCTGGTGGCGCGAGTCCGGGATCCTGGACGGCAAAAGTGACGTCATCCAGTCGTTCTGCGGTGAGCAAACCAGCTGACATCAGCCTTCCTGGTCGGGAAAACTTGCTCGAGAATCTAGACAACGAAGGCAAACAAATAAGGACAGAGATGAACTCGCAAGAACACTTGGCGCCGTCTACTTGAGAATGTTTGATTCGACTGCCAGCTGTGCGTATTCCTTCTGGTTCTCGTGAAGATTCGGTTGCAAAGGTGTACCCTGCAGATTCCGTCGAACTGTATGTTGTTGGATATTGTTCTAAGCGCCATTTTTTGGATGCGCAGGTTTTGTGGCCGACGCGCTCGACCCGCCCGCCAACCCCCAAACCTCGCCAGTGTTTTCGCCACGCGGCCCCGCCCCTCTGCACAGGTTCGTTACCTCCGGCCGCCGTCTGAAAAGACAATTTCCGAACCTTGACAAGAAACCATCTTGTGAGCTCTTGTGTCTCCAATTTTGAGCGGATAAAGCTGACAAGCGAGCCGCAGGCAGATAGCAGCCTTGTTGCGCTGATATCATCCGGGCAGGCAGTGAAGCCCGTCCAGAACTGAAGTAAAAGCAGCTTCTACGTCAACTACTAGGGCAGGGAGTAAACGCTCAATCAGAAACTTCTGAAGCGTTGTTTGTATACCCTGTGAGAGGGAAAGTGGTTGGAGAGGTGGGAGCTCTCCTTCGAAGAAGATTTGGACTTCACCGCATAGAACTGAGGTTTTGGACTGAGAAAAGAAAGCTCTTAACCAGAAGGACTCTGAAATTAACCAGCCAGTTACAACATGAACCACAAGACTGCAGATATAACAACACATTCTCCACTTTCCTAACGGCCTGCTACTTTTTCTGTCCCAGGTCCCCTTTCAAGACTAGCTGGGCCCAGGAACTAGAGTCGGAGCTTTCGCACGCCGTCGTGGGGTTCGCGGACCTTTTCTTCGACGGCGAGCCGTCCCCTGTCTGGCAGCACATCGGCGACGTTCTCCCGGTCGCTTTGGAGGAGATTCGGCACGAACTCGTCTGCACGGCGGAAGAAATAACGCCCGGGAAACTCGCCCGGGGAGTGTCGGGGATTGTGAAAGACGCGTTTGAGGGGTTCCGCCGGGAGTGGGACAAGACCGGCGGGCAGTGGTAGACAAGCTTATGTATTTGATCCGTATATTAAAGGGAAAAAAGGGGAGTATTTAAAAAGGGAGCAGTTGTGCTGCATTTGAATAAGGCAACGGTGCGGGAAGCGAAGAGAAGAATGGTGGGTGTATTTAAGTGGGCTGATGACTCTGGTACTCATGAGTAAGTGAGAGGAAAAGACGGGTGTTAGTTGGGGTGGAGCCGGGTGGACCTTGGATAGTAAAGGAAGAGTCTGCACCATGCTTAGGAGAGACTTGTTAGGATCTTAGAGAAGGCTGGTGGGTAAGGGTGGTTATATCATTATTGGCCCTGGTTAGTCTAAGTATCGTACGGGAGGGGGCGTAAGGCCGCGGCCTGAGATGTCAGCCCTAACAATCCGTGAGAGACTGAATTAAAAAGGGTGTGAGTTGCATAAGCCGGCTGTAGTGTATCTGAGAATTCAGGTAAGGACCGAACACGCTCGATCAATCAGATCTGGCACTGGGCTTAACCCTCGCGACGGGCTTCACGCCCTCCTTAGAAGCTACGAAGGTAGCCTGCCAGCCAAACGAACCGCGTGCATCAGGATAAACAGCAAAAGCTGACCAAGCTGATTTCAAAGTACTCCTACTTGGCTCCAACCACTCGAACGTGTCCCACTTCGGCTCAAGCCAAAGTTCCATGCATCTGTCAGCATGCAGACTTCAAGGAGAGCGTCAGGGGACTTTAAAGACTGGGAGCCAAAAAGTTAACTTGCCCGGCCTTATGACGCACTATATAGCTTGGAATCGCTTGTTAAGACAAGTTTTCGCCGTATCAACGATTTCAGGTGTTGAAGGAATGAACTTTGGGGCGTGACTTTATATAATCAGTAGGGTCGAATATAGCTCGACGGATTCGGTATTTCACCAAGTTGCGCATCGAAGATATTCTCGGCCGCAATTGGGCGATTGCCTGTTAGAACAGCGCCGCGGCGGGTGTCTGACACATTCAACTTGCAGCATGCCATGTGCGCCCGCCCTAGCTGCATGTATATCATATCGGTCACACTCAAAACATTCGTGGGATGGTAGATAGGTAGGCCGGAGCGGCAGGCTCGTATGCTTTGCGCCTAGCTGCTCAATAAAAGGGATGGCGTGGAAATTGGGCATATACTTGAATTTGGCAAGGTCCGCGCGCGCCTCCATATCATGTTCGCGTGCACTCGGAAATGCACGTCCACAATGCGATGCTGCATGTTAATCGAACATGCCGCCCATCGCCATATGGAATCCCCACTTACGATTTGCTTGATGAAGCCTAGATGGCCCTAACTTAGTAAGTTATTTTGAACCATTGGTGCGGCGCCGTTGAATAAAACATACTTCGTAGCCGAGGATTGAGGCCGCCGTGCTTAGCATCATGTGCATTGAACAACTTGTTTAAGTTGCGCACGTGGTGAACCTAGGCGGCCCGTATCGAATCAAGCCCACTCGCACATACAGTATGTAAGGCCCAAAAGAGACCGCTGCTTTGATCGTGTGTTGGGTCTATGATTCATGGGGATATCCTGACTGATTGACTTCGCCACTTAGTGGGAGTAATTAACCACATATGGTCAGTGACCAAGATATCAACCGTAACCACCTCAAATCTGCTGCACACATACCCACCAATTTTGCTCGGCTGCAATACGACGCTTTGCACCAAACCTGTCCAGGTGCACGCCTCTGAGCGCCATGCACGATACTGAAGCATGCCGAGCACACTTAGCCACTCAGCAAACGGTGGCCCGCTGCGCATGGCACGCATAGCTCTTTGAAGCTAGCCGCAAATGTGGTGGCGCTGATGAGCTAAGATAACGATCAAGCTCGCCCGGCCCCTCAACACGCTGTGCTGCTGATGTTGCCATATATATCAACGTTGCAGAGGTTTCCCTTATAACCGACCCGATCATCGATTAGATGCGATGCATAAGGGCAACTCGAAGCTCATGCAAGACTTGCCTAGGCTTGCTGAGTCTTAGGATTCAAGCACCCGAGTAAGCCATATATGTAGCTCTCCAATTTAGGTACACCATCGGTCCCCTTACTCTTGCTACAAACCCTAATGAGCTGAGGGCTGCCATTCCCGACCCTAGAAGCATGGCGTGTGGCCTGCTGAATATCCTCAGGAAACGTGGGATAAAGCATGTGATAATGGAAGGAAGGATGTGCTTATGAGAAAGGGCGAGTAGACAGACCTTCTAACTCGGTACATAGGTATACCGCTCCCGATAATTCTGCCGCAACACCAATCCCCGGGTTAAGGTGATATCAACATGCCCCTCCTTCAATCATGCAGAATATTAGCCACAATCAACGCGTTTTCTTTGCGTAAGCAATGCACTCAGCCCTGCTCACAGAAACAAATCTTTGCACCTTCCTAAACTAACCCTGAAAACGCGAACCGGTCCCTATCTTATACCCATGCATCAACGTTGTACCCTGTAATAACTTTGTTGATCATCATTGCTGCTTTGCTCATTGGACTCGGTCAATACCGCCCCTGATACTGCTCTGTAGGAGCAGCATCAAACACGGAATTGGTGGCTCCGGCTTGTCCGGCGTAGTTTGCGATCTGCAGAGTAGCGGTGCTTCCCTCTCAACAGTTGAGAAGGCGTCCTAATAGTTGCAACATGAGCCGCCTCGGACCGTCTTTCAGACCAACGCCTCACACTTCGTTTACTGAATCCCGCGCAAGTTCCGGACTGGAAGAAGCCCTATGAGATAATTATTTCATTACTGTGCACCCCGGGCTAACACCCTCAAGGGCGACTTGATGATGTCTCAAATTTAAAGTGGAGCCAGACATTTCCGGAACATGGACTTCGGCATCTGAAGTGAACTTAGGCTGAAGCTCCGGAACATTGCTGAACCCAGGAGGTCCCCAAACCACGAACAGAGATGAAGGCCCGTTTATGGAGGGAACCGATCATCATGAAACTTTCGCAGTGTCACCCGTAATTGCAATTTCGGTAGGCCTCACGATGCTTCGCACATGAACTGCGCAGCACTTGCACCTGCTGTCTCATTGAAATGAGACAGGATTCGTCCCTCGCCCAATTGCCTGTCTGATAACCAGCTAAACGCTTGGCATACGCTGGCTAGTTTAGCAGAATGCCCGAAGCTTCATTAGCCACAGAAATTATGCTTGTGAAACTTCCGATTCTCACGGAAGGGTGCGGAATGATAAAGCGAAGCAACAGAAGATAGGATCGGAGCAAATAAATACACAAGAAAGAAGAATCAGGTATCAAAAGCTTGGAGAGGAATGACTCAGATGAAAAACCAACGTGAGAAAGAGACACGAGAAACGAGACCTCACCTCAGTCAGCCCTTGCTGCGCCAGGCTCCGTATCTGCTGCGCGAAACCCTCATACCCTTGTGCCGCGAGCGTCTCAGAAGCATAAGCCGCCCCCGCAGCGGTATAAGTGGCCGGGCGGGTCTGGTTCGGGGGCGTGTAATGCTGCGCCGGGGGTTGGGAAGCGTAGTACTGACTCTGAGATAGAGGTTGCGTTGGGGCTATGTGCCTTTGTTGCAGGGGGTGGTTTTGGGAGTCTGACGAGTAGTACTGGTTCAAGGGGGGGGTCAGAGCCGTATTCGTAGGGTTCTGGGTTTGGGGGTTGGTTTGGGGGGCTGAACCGTAGTAGTTCTGTGAGCCGGTTGTCTGAGCTTGGGTATGATCCGAGGAAGAAAACTGGGCTGCAGAACTATAGTAATTTTCCAGGGGGGGCATCGTAGACTGGCCAGTGTGCTGCTGAGTGGGGGGGTGGTTTTGAGATGCTGCCGCGGCGCCGTACTGCTCCCAGGGGTTGGGTTCCGCTTTGACCTGGTGCGTTTGCTCCGGAGAAAAGGGGTTTGATGCGGGGGCGTAACCCTGATTTGATGAAGTGGGCTCGACCTTGGCGGTGAAACTTTTGTCAAGGGAGGACATTTGGGAATTTGGGGCGTGATACTGTTGCGCGGGGTTGGTTTGCACTTTCGTGGCGGCCGTCTGCTCTTGAAGGGAGTTCCAAGGTGCGTGCTGCTGCTTGAGGGGGGGTGTCTGAGTTGAACGGAACGGAAGGGGCTTCTGAGTAGCTGCGCCGAACTGTTGAGACTGGCTCTGTAAGTTAGTGCCGTACTGCGGGGTTTTGGAGGCGCTCGCATTTCCGCCATACTGTTGGTTCCCGTCGAAATGCATGCCTGTGGCGTTACTAGGATTCTGGGAAGCGCTCGGGTTTGCGGAGGTGTATAAGCTGGGGTGGGACGGGTCATAAGCGGGGACGGGAACTGCAGCGTATGGGGAGCCGTAGAGCCCGGGTAAACTGCAGAGGAAAAGACTGATGACGTCAGCATCTTTTCGAGATGACGTCAATGCCAGCTGGAGCTTCCAGCATGTGTTGGTCAGCCTGTTACGTTGCCCTGTTTGCTTGACCCGGTGACAAAACCCACGGACGTATCTTCTATCTTAACCAAGATGATAAGATTACTTGGTTGGCAATCTCAAGAATGGAGAGCCTCGAGCGACGAGAATAGCTTCGACGCTTCTTTAGGGGATGTCAATCAGAAACGTGTGGCATGCACGGGTGATCGACGTCTTTGCAAACATTCTGCGAGGTTGGGCTTCATTCATCTAAGTTTTGTCACAATCTCGCCTGTTTGTTGCCGGAAAAGTGACAGGTTTTGGCAAGTAGAGGCTTCCAAACGCACACCCAAAACCCTCGGATTCTGGGACATGATCACTGGCCTGTGAGTCGCCACGAGCAGTACAGAAGAGACCCAAATACGAACCCCTAGCTTGCTCACCCATTGCGCTTCTCACCATCCGCACCTCCCTCTCAGGTTTTAGAGCATTATCAACCTTAACCTTCACGATCAGACCAGACTCCGGAGATACGGATCAAGCAACAGAAACCTGGTTTATTTTTTAATCGATTGCAACCTCGCAAATAGGATGAGTATCCCGTCAGTGCTGCATACCTGGTCCCAGCTCGGGATCCTTTCTCCTCCTTCCGGACACTTTGTTCGCCCCCCTGCTGCCAGCTCATCATTCCTGCTGACGCCCCTGCTGACGCACCCATATACGCGCTCTGCCTGTCAGTAACCGGGTTAGCGTCGGTCAACCACTTGGTTTGCACTTTCGAATAAGGGTTCTCCACCTCTGGCATTCCCCCTGTCCGGCTTTCAACACGCCCGTATGGGTTACCGGTTTGTGTGGGCATTTTCTTCTGCCCTCCGATTAGATTCAGGTGTTTCGCCGAGCCTTGTAGTTTCCGTCCAGCCATGTGGCTCTCGACGTGGCTCACTAACGACGTGGATTTCGGTAACGAACCCCCAAACCCGCTCGCCGAAGCACCCTCAAAAACCGAGCGGGACAGAGACGCGTTCCGAAGGGTGTTGACTGGAGAAGGGTCATCGAAACCGTAAGCCGCAACTAGCGCAGCCGCGCGCACGGCGTCCGAGTTGTCTCGAGGACCCCTAAAGCTCCCGGAATCGCCAGGCGAAGTTGCTCTTCCAATATTCCGGCTAGGGGATCCTTGGCGGAAGGGCGACGCGAACGCGGGTCCCCGATCAGGCAGCGGTGCAAAGCCTTCCGTTCTTGGCCGGGGGACTTGGCGGGTTACGCTAACCGCACCTTCGAAACCCCTCTCCCTCTTCAAACCGCCCAACGCGCCAACGCCTCTCTTGCCTCCCCCAAGCGGAATGCTATTGACACTATCAGCTTCGACCCCCCCTCGGCCGCCAAACCCTGACCCCCCTCCCCTTCCTGGGCTGATTCGCCCCCCCCGCTGCGATACTGAGCCGCCCCTCCCCCCATGTGAAAAGGCTCCGAATGCACGCCCGTTGCTGGCGGCTTTCCCTGCAATCGCTCCTTGGATCGCGACCGCAAAGGGGGGGTCTGGCCTGCGTGCTTGCGCCGGGTTGGATTGCCCCCCCGCTGCGGAGCTGCTGGGGCTTTTCGGATTGAAGGGGGCCTTCTCCACCTTCGGTCGGAGCAGCTCCGCCTCGACTTCTGGTGACCTGCACAAGTGACACGTGGCAAACTTAGATCGCCAGGCGCGAGCTTCACGAGCCACAAGTGGCACACTTTGCACCGAAGACCTATCCCTTCAATGTGAGAAGAAGCCAATTTGAACAGATCCCATATTCCTCTTCCTTCTCAAACGATACTACTTCCAGGAGGTCTGACAGAAGCATGGAGCACATTCAGTCCCTCCTTTCACCATTGTGCTGATTTTGAGACGTAAAACAGACAGATTGAGGGTCTTTTAAGAACTATTTCAGGACCTTGAGCGGGGCAATCACTCAACAATCAATACCTGGCCCGCTTCTGACGACGTTCCGATTCAAATGGTGCCAATGATCGGTCCTGTTGCTTGATTAACAAGAGCGAAGAAAAGCAAGCACCATAAAACCTGACACACAAATCTAAGAACGAATATTAAAGGCCTGTACCAATCCAAGGTCTTTTAGATGGCTACCACTGCTGACGCATCGCAGCTCATTGTCCAGATTTCACCAGGCTTTCAACCATCTATCCCAGATACTGATTTGAGCTACGACTCCAATCAAGGAAACGGAATTGCAATTATTTTATCACCTCTCCAGGATTTTCAGCAAAGCCGTCACCGCCGCCGCCTGCTTGGCCCGCTTCTTGTCCCGCCCGATCCCGACGCCCTCCATCTGCTGTACGCGCGTCTCGGGCCCGCCGCGCAGGGTCACCGTCACCTCGAAGGGGCCCTGGAGGTCGTCCGCCTTCGTCTCAAAGATGAGCTGCGATGAAAGCGACTTCAAGTTAAGCTGTGAAGATCGAAGATAGGGAGAATCCGTGCATTTGGTAAGTTTGACTGGGGGTATCGCACTCTGTCTGTGTCTCGCCCGTCTCAACGAGGAGCTGCGAGAAAGCCGGTCCGTCGTCCTTTTGGAAGTCAAAAGATACGCAGGTTCTGGAGCGGGCCGTTCAAGACTTTCGTCCGAGGTGTCGCGCTCAGCAAGTCGAAAAGAAGTCGAATACAGCCTGGCGATCGTGCAACAGCGTCTCAGACAATCAGCTGCGAAGCAGAGAAAAAGGGTAAAGCTTTGAAGCCGCAAAGCTTAGCAGGTCAAGCACAAGGTTAGGGGACCCCGCTCTCGTCGGCCTTCTTGTAGCTGAGAAGCCATTCAAGAGCGGTTCAGGCTTTGGGTAATGGATAAGTAGCCTGTAATGAGATTTCCGAACCATGGGGCCTGCATTTGAGGCTTTAACGGGAACTTGTGTCAGCCTTTGACCTCGTTGACTTGGCACATAAGTCATGGGCTCATGCAGTCCACTTGATCTAGACTAACAGGCTCGGGTGCCTTCAACGCCCTCAGGCCACTCTTTATTTGACAGATTACTGACTATAAGCGGACTGAATCGACCAGGGGCTTTGACACCGTTCTTATTGCATAGGACACGAAACGAATCTCTTTTGCTGGAAGCCGACAAAGCATCACAGAGAAGAGTGGGCAGATGTTGTTACAAAATTTCCGACCTCCGCCGTCCGCTTGACAGCTCGTTGGGCAGCAACGTCAGCGGACATCTGTCCAACTATTTTCCCCCACTTTTCTGTCCGAGGAGGAAGAAAAGGACGAAGAGGGAAGCGCACACACGAATCTGCTTAAAGGAAAGCTTCTCCTTACCTCCGCTCTCCGTTTTACAGCATACTCATGCAGCAGACTCAGCGGCGTCTTGACCAGGGGCTTGGGCCCGTTCTTCAGCCGCTCCACAATGTGGTGCACCCTCGTCGCCTTATGCGTCAGCAACTCGGCCTCGCTCGCATTCGCAACCCCGCACAGCAGGCAGTCCCAAGTGGTGTCCGGTGCCGCCTTCTCGTTTACGGGGCCCTCACGTGCTGCCTCGGCAGGGTCTTCTTGGGCGGGCCCTGTTTCGCCGACTGTCGGCACGGGCGATGAGGTCTGTTTTGAACTGGAGTAATTTCGGCTACTAACCGGGGGGGTGGTCGTCTTGGCTGAGGCAATTACGCTGTCCAGTGGGGGCGTTTGTCCGTTCACCGGTCTGAATTGGTCCTTAACCGGAGTGGCTTTCCCGGGGGTTGGCGATATGGATGGCTTTTCCGGCGCTTTGGTCTGTTGCGCACCCGAAACCCCTTGCGCCACTTTCCCTGCTTCCAGCTTTTCACCAGTCAGTACACTTGACTGTACTTTCGCCTCCTCGCCATTCGCGTCGACGGCTTCTCCTTTGACCGTTGCAGAGCCACTGGCTGAAACCGTTTTCGATGCGTCCGCTCTCCCCTCGACCTTTTTCGCGTTCCCCGGGCTGACTTCCCCCCTCACTGCAGCTTCAGCGACTCTCCCCTGGTTCCCTGCACCTTCTGACTTGCCAGCAACCCGATTAACAGTCTCGTTTCTGGCCATCTCGTCCCGCTCCTCAATCGCCCCAGCCTTCAAAAGCCACTCCCCCATTGGCGCCACCTCTGCCGGTATCGACTTTAGGATCCCCGCTTCCCCCCCCACCTTCGCCCGCTTCTCCGCACCCCCCCTTTCCGAAACAGCCTTCCTCTTCCCCCCATCCAACGCGCTCCCGTTCTCGGCGCTCACTTTCTTCACTTCCTCAACCTTGAAGACTTTGATCTCCTCCGGGAAGAATCTCTCAACCTCTTTAACTTGGTCCCGTAGGATCCGCACCAGTTCCGAGTCCAATGAAACCGCCGGCGGCCCCCCCCTCCCGCCCCTGCCGAACCGGCCCCCCCCTCGGCCGCCGCGGCCCCCTGTCCCCCGATCTTGCACTGGCGGGTTTGCGAGCTTGATGAGGACCGTAAAAGCAGTGTCCCCGGTCCCAATCTGCTTCCCGTTCAGCTCCGCTATGACCTTCTCGGCAGCCTGCACGATGCACATACTTGTTGAAAGAAGATGTTAAGCTCAAGTCGAGTACACGAGAGTGTTACTATGAGTCTGCCACTTGCGGACCATTTCCCTGTTTCACGATCCAAGAGACGCACGCATGGAAAGAAAACCTCAATGTTGGATACCAGATACCCGAATCCTCCCTGTTCCGTTGGACTTGTGTTGCCTTCCAACGAAAAAACCACCGAGCTAAAGAATCAGCTCCGTTCTTGCTGCATCCCTCATCCAGCGGTGAAGTTGTCTCACCCTGCTGAAACGATACATTCGGAATCCACTGGAGGCAAACGCCCTGTGTCCAGTTTGAGGCAGGCTCACTGACAGCTCATTTCCAAAGTGAGTGCCCCGACCCTCCACGTCATGAAGCACTGTCCGCAGGAGCAAGCATAGCACACCGCTCGTTCAGCCACCCTTCCGTGACATCACGGGTCACCGGATTTTTGCTCGTCCAAAAGTCGCCTCTAATATAAACTTAAGCTGTGCTTCACAAACTTGCTCGCCGACCAACTAAACTCAACCGAGCTTCACAACTTTTCTGCATACATAATCAAAGGTTACTGTGTAACTCCTGGAGGTCTTGGGACCCTTGACGCCTTACCTCCCGAGCCGCAAAGTTGATGAAGCCGTACCCCTTCCGCTTGGCGTTAGGCATGTTCTTGGACAGTACGACGCTCAGGATCTCGCCATACGAAGCAAAGTGGTCTCGGACGGTCTCCTGCGTCCAGCTCTCAGGAAGGCCGTCGATGAACACGGACTTGACTCTCGCAAGCTGTTCCTCTGCGGGTTGGATCAGCGGTGCGGCCCATGTGACCTGCAAAGTGCAGAAGAGTGTGAGAGCGGGGACAAGGAAAACAGTCTTTGCAGTATCGGGTCCAGGGACACTGTTGGAAACGTGCTGGTGACGTAGGCTGGGCTTCTAAGTTGGTTTCAACCGTCAGATGGTCTCCAGGATCTGACGACTGTAGTGAGACCCCCCTGGGTGGAACCTGCACAAGTTAAGCCTTGTGATCTCCAAGGCACAGCTTAGAAGCCGTCAGATCTGCGTTTAGGAAGGCATCTAGGGCTGAGGTTACTCGCCGTGCAGGCACCAGTCTCTTGAGTCTCCGATCGCACCGACACCGTTGACAGCGTCTCCGGTTCCGATTGTGTGAAGATCGTTTCTCCTTGTCCGAGCTCTGTGAATCAAACTGATTACAGTCTGGTCGTGTCTACTATAATACCAGACAGACCGCGGGAAAAGGAAAACGGACGTGACTTTGACGAGAAGTTCATTGGCGGTTCGGATCAGCGGAGTGGCCCATGAGACCTGCACAGCTTAGGCGACGGGGAGGCTCGATCTCGGTTCTGGTTGTATTGGTTACTTCGGCTAGACGGATCCCAAGAACCGAAGGACCTCGATGAACAAAGCAATGGGGCAAGCGAGTTCTTGCGTCATTGGCGGGTTCCACCGGGCAGCCCAGACAGCTCTTGCCCGTATTCCCCATCGACTCTTTTTGCAGATCAAACTCCTGCTGCAGTCACGAATGCCATGTATGGGCGATCCGTGTTTCCTGCGTTTGAAGAAAAGGCAGGCCTAATCACGCTCCAACCTCAAAGCATGCCAAGGATTGTTTTCGATGGACAACGTGCGTAGACACAAAACGCCTACTCTTAGATGTATACTCACCTCTTGCCCCCTCACCTGCCTGCAAATGCGAAGGAATCGCGACACACTTTGCGACTGATTGTCAGTCATATACAAAGACATGTTATGCTGGTCTAACCTTTGCCGGCAGATGCGCCCCAAACTTAGCATCCGGTTTGGACAACAGTCTCAGGGCCTTGAGCGCGGCAGACTGTGACGTCATCTCCAGGAACCCGAAGCCCCGGTTGGCTTTGCCGGCTTCCTTGTCGTCCATGAGAAGCAGATTTGCCAGGCCTTCCACCTTGTACTCGGATAACTTCTCAAGCACCTGAGATGGTATAAAAGAAGGAAAAGGTCGACATTAGACCCGACTCCTAAGGAGACTCCCATCTTCGAAGTATGTGATGCGATCCCCTGGTCTCATGAGTACAAGGTGGTCGACAGTGATGCGGAGAAGCTTCTGAGTACGCTGACCAAACAAGGGGAGAAGAATGAAGAAAGAAAGCTGAGAGAGCGTAACACTCGAGCAGTTAGCAAAGCTGCGGACGATTGCTGGACAAAGGGAATTCGAACATGCGGGTGGCCAGGCCATCTACAGTTCCCTCGAAGGACCATGCTTGGGGAAATGGCACTTTTGTAGCCTGGTATTTCAATTGCTCTATGAGAAAAAAGCGCAAGGATTTGGGGAAATCTCAAACCGTCAGACATGATGGCAACATAGATGTATGAAAGCCCAAAACACAGAGATCTGAAGATGGTCAGGAAGAACCTGAGAGAAAAAAGACTGACCGTGACCAGATGCTTGTAATCATGCACAAGCTGCAGAATTGCAAACCGTTCGAGTAGGTAGGTTCTCAAGTTGGCTCCACGATAGCCCCAAACAGAGCAATGTGACCTGGACTGCGATCCTACGAGACTGACGAAACAACCTCTGCCAGTTGTTCACCCTGGTATAAATCCACCCAAAATATGAAAACTTTAACCGTCACCTGTTCTTTCACCAGTCCCCAGGAACAGCGTTATTGCAACAGAACAGAGCACATACTTCTATCAAACCTGACACTAGTCCAGAAGTTGTTTGTCCCTAGACAGAACACTCTGAAACGGAAACTCTCAACTCGCACCTGTTCCTTTGACCAGTCCCGGTTGATATTCCCCAGGAACAGCGTGTCGCTGTCCTCAGCCAGCACGACCCAAACATTCTTGCCGCAGATCTCGACCCCCGTAGCTAATTCCTCAGCGGCTCGCTTCGCGAAGAGGGCCGACTTGTAGCGCACAAAAGCGTAGCCCTTGTTCAAACCTGTCAGTTGTGAAATACAGGGTCAGCCTTGGTTTTGCCAGATAGGCGATTGCTGTTCCTTAGGTTGGTGAATGGAGGTCCCTTCTGCTGATCAACTGGTGATGGCTGTTCCTTTTGTTGGTAATGTAAAGGACCTCTAGAAAAATAAGAGTGCATTAACGCTGGACGAGAGGGCCAGATTCTGGCCTGCACTAACGTGGCTTTGAGTCCGAGCTGCTGGGTTTGAGATTAGTGAGTGCCTTAACTGCCTCTCTTACCTGCTCAAATGATAATTGTACATCAATTCTGAACTTGTCCGTACGAAGATAAACCTGACAATGACAGTGGGCAAGAGCATTTCTTTGGGGGCTTGGTGTCAGCAAGTGAACTGATAAGCAGGAAGTGAGGAAGCTTCGTCAAATGAAGGTTTGATCAATTGCGGGATTGTTGTAGTGAGCTCTTTGACAACAATGCATCAGTGGTCACCAGGGTCTCAGGCACGCCAAAAGTTGCTTTGCGTCAAACGCTTTGCACAGTGCACTTCAGCCAGGACAGGCGCTTTTGCTGGAACCTGGCGGACTTGGTTTCATCGAACCCTAGTCTAAAGCGGTCCAAATTTGCCTTAAACGAAGTGACAACTGGCGGCTGGTCAAACTGCGATCGCCATTTGAAATGACAACATCAGTTTGGCCAAAACCGTAAATCTCGCCTTTTCATTGCAAAGACCTCAGTGGATTAACGAGCTCTTGATATTCCACTAAACATCATGCATTCTGCCAAACATTTGAAGGATCTTTGCAGAGTCTTCAGCCTACACAACTGGACCTTTGCAAAATTTCACAAAGCAACCTGCAACAACCGGAGGATGAAACCAGAAGGGTGGATCAAACCCGGAGACGTTCAATCTGGTGAACAGCACGAATTGGGCCTACCTTCTGAGTCCACCCGCAGCCTGACCCAAGCAATCTCGCCGACCTCCGCAAACCTTCTACACACATCCTCTGCTCTCGCTTCTCTGTCCAGCCCTGCAATGAAGACTTCAGAATGCTTCTGCTTTGAGGACGCTTCCTTTGTGCCGTTTTCCTGCGCCCCTGTCCCATCTTCCACGCCTAGTGCCTCATGCGCACCCCAGGTATCCTGCTCTTCCTGCGCGTCGACGAACGCAGGAGAGCCGGGGGTTGCAGCTACCTCCATGGCCGGAGGACTAGAGCATCAATGCAGCCAACCGTCCATCGGCGTGGATAGCAGTTCTAAGCCTTGCACCTTCAGGCTAAACTGACATTTTGAGCTGTTCGCCGTGGCGGACAGGGGCGTCAGCATTCAGCAGTCTAGGGTTTTGCATAGTGAACCCTAATTTTAAAATGGCTTCCATGCAAATGCAGCTTGCAAATTAAATTTGCCTGATTTGATGCGCGCGCGCGCGTTTGACGTCCTGACAGGACGGTCCTGTTCTTGGGCCTTGGCCTCAGATTTCAGGCTCAGAAATTAGAATCATAACAAACATTACAATGTGGATCCGAATTTCGGCTGTGTCAAACTGCATAATGCACCCAAAAGCTGCACATTTACTGCCTCATGTGATGACATCAACATCATGTCTTCTCAGGACGACGGAGGGGCCAGCCCGGGCCGCCACGTAAGCAGAACCCATGCGCCGTGCGGCCGCGCAGCCGCGCTATCGTGATTCAAACTTGAACGCGGCGAAGAGATCCGGGTCAGAAACGGGTCAATGATTGTTTGACTGTTTACAGATCTATGCAACAGGTGACGAATTCTTTGGCTCTCAGCTTCGAGTTCACGGGTGCGAATCAGGGGTGCGGACAGGATTTTGCCTCGAGGCGCTTCTGCGCCCCGGGCCTTTGCCCTGGGGCGCAGGCAGCTTCCCTGGGGCGCACAAAGTAGTACCGGGCCCCAGAAGCGCCCGGTACACTTAGCTTTTGCTCTATTACGGCCCTAGGAGGCCCTGGGCCCTGGCCCACCTTATACTCCTAATTAGCAGCAACTACATGTGGGACTTATCGGATCAATACGCTACTGATACTAGTCTGCTTATGGAAGCAGTAAATGCAGATACGAATTTGAATTGTTTTCTTGAATGGCGTGGGGACAGGCAGGATGATAATCCGGACGAGTTCTGTAGGGGTAGGCACTTATATAAGATTGTCAAATATTCAGGCAGCACTTATGGCATTGAAACTCGCTCAGATTCTAGACTCTGTTCAAGATTGAACCAGATTAAGCACCCAATATAGGTAGTCCATGGTCCCTGCTTAGGCCCACATTTGCCCGGGGGCGCTTCTGCGCCCCGGCTCTTCGCCCGAGGGCGCAGGATATTTCCCGGGGGCGCTCTGCGCCCCATTCTGCGCCCCGCCCGCACCCCTGGTGCGAATCACATGAGCTGTATTACAGTGTATTATACAGGTGAAAAGTATGTTGCATCTCTGCACCGCCAGCATTACAATCGCCACGGGCGTGGGCGACGCAAGCTGCCAGCGTCCGGCCTCTCCTTGAGGCAAGTGCCATGATATGAAGAAGGATCAGGCTGGGGATGATCAGCGGAAAGTGGTAAAAGGCGGTGGTGCAATGCGCGCAGGATCGGAAGGGAGCAACCCGCATGTGTGTTCGTTGCTCCGGGTCACAAGAAGAGGAGAAGAGAGGCTCAAAGGTGGGGCATTCGATCTGATGCCTTGGGAAAACTATCTACAACACACAGACATCTTCTTATCGCAGCAAATCGAATTTGGGACTTCTGAGCTCAGATTGACTCTTCTCTGAGGTGTTGTTTGCCTAGATTTGATTCATGAGGGAGACACTCATTGCTTGATGTCCACATTCTTTTTCTTGTCCCCCTGTGATCTAAGACACCTAGCGGGGGCTTAGAAGACAGCATGGGCTTGTACTTCATTTATTAACCATCAGACCATTGTGGAGCAAGATCCTAAAAAATACGTTGAATCGTCAACAAAGAACTTTTCATCTCTTCGCCTTGCGACTCAAACGTCAAGATTAATTGATGCTGTGAGGGGGGATCCCTGACAACATTCCTTTCCTTTCAGCATCTTTTGTGAAGATACTTGCTTATTTCAGCTGTTTCTATATAGAACAGAAGCCCGCAAGTCTGATCGGATAGCCAAACGTTTTGCACAAATGTTCAAGAGACCAAGTACAAGAGGAACTTTCTCTGGCACATATCAAAGTTATTATGCAGGTGAAGCATGGGTTTGGTTTTGTGATCTGAGAAACAGATACTGCAATCATTTTTGTGCTTTCTTCAAGCACAAATCCTACAGGTCTGCTCGATATCAATGGGGGCGGGCTACAGACCGTTCGGTGGCTGTGAAGATTCTCACACCATCACAGTTGCTTCATCAAACTCACTGTGGGGCTTCTTCTTGGGCCCGCAATATTGAAGACTTTGTTCGACCAGAGGATTTCTTGGGGATGAAAGCTACAAGAAAAGCTCTTGAACGCCCAGACACGCCCAAAAAAGCCCTGCCTGTAGATCCTTTTTGACTACTTGTGTGCATTTATCTTCCAAAAGTCAAGAAGAGGAGTCTCAGAGAACGCAAATCGAGATATAGAGTTCTCGGAGTCAAGAAGAGGACCAATCATGCTGCTTTCACAAAAGCAGGTCCGCCTAAGCGGACTCCAGTCGCTCTCATTGAGTAGATGATAGTCAAAGCATTGCTTGACAAGGTGGGCACGGTCTAATCACGTAACTGGGATCCCTTGAATCAAGGCGCAGTTCTGGCCCACAAACCTGGAAGTGACTGTTTGTAATTTTCTCGTGTCATGTGGCTGCATCACGGGCATTTATGAAAACCCATGTTCCATCGTGTTTGAACTACCCTCACAAATGTGTTCGGTCAACACAGATTGTCCCTTTGTGAGGCGAGATCAAGGGACGGAAGAATTTGGCTATCTTAGCAAGAGATAGCTCATACATAAGTCGACTCGAAGCAGGCTCTCGGGTGGGCAGAAAATAACTTCGACCAGTTTCGACTTTGTGATCTGGTGGGCTGCCAAGTCTTGGACCGCCGAGCTGAAAAAGGTCCTCTTTGGTTTTGAACTGATCGTCCAAATGCAGACTCTGGCGTCTCTTGCAAGAAAAAACAATGAACTTTGAGAGATTCTTCAATGGAAGTTCAAATCGATCAAAAGCGTGTTCATGCTTGAATGGCTGAGAAGCAATCTGTTCGAGTTAGCCTCCCGGCCTGCAAGCGACGGTCTACTTCGCCTCACAAACCGTGATCAAGAAAATTTATCACCCCAAGGCCCCAGAAAGCTTCCACTACTTTCGCAGGTGATGGCTGCATCTCTGGCGCGATTTGCCTCCTTTTCCCTGGCGCTTCTGTGCATTGCCTTTGCACCCCGCCACAGCACCGCTCTCTGCATTCCCAGCGAACAGTATATCGACTGCAACTTCCACGCTCTTTCCTCCCCCCACTGGGCTGCACTTTCCAGCGAGTCGGCAGCCCTCACAGCAGCCTGGAAGGCCGCCGTCGCCCAGACTCCAGAGTACCCCTCGGAACGGTTTGCAGGGCGGGGACTGGTGATTACGGCGACCAAGCTGGATCTGGTAAACGTGCCGGTGCTGCTGACGACGCTCCAGTCACAAGGGTTTACGCTGCCTGTGGAGGTGCGTTTTTGCTTTCATTCTCGAATATATATGTTCCCTTTCTTGCATATTTATGAACCTCCGATCCCTGCGCCTCTCGACTTGGGAGCACCTGAAGACTAGCTTGTTATTATAACCCAATGCATGATTCTACGCACACATGTTTCAAGGATGAAAAGTGCGGCCGTCTTTGCAGCTGTTCCTCTTTTACACGCCCCCGAGCCAGCTTCGTCTTGGAAACCTTTCTTTTTAAAACTACCTTCCATCCTCTCCCCCCTCTGGGCGTCTTTGGAAGCTGTACTCTTCTGGGCTCCCTTTGGGAAATACCAGTCCGTTCTCTCTACTGGAAGGCCTCTGGTGTTTCCCTTTTCCTCGATCTCACAGATCTCTTGTGCCCCCACAGACTTCGAGATCCATCATCCTTCCTCCCTTTCTATGTGATGTGTGTCCTCAGCCGTCTTTCACGGATCACTTGAATCAACCCCTTGCCTTGGGGGATCTGACATATTCTCCCCACTCTAGAACCTCATTTATCCTCCCCCTTCCCTCAGAGATCGTTGTATCGGCCCCTTGCGTTGGAGTCCACAATCCTGCTCTGCTTGCACCTTCCTGCAGTTATGGTACCCTGGTGAGGTCACTTCTGACATCGTGAGCTCCCTGTTGGCCACGTACGTCAAGCTTGTAGTCAAAAACGTGGCCAACTATGCCTCTGACGACGATCTTCGGAGCATGGTCACAAGCCAAGGGGAGCGCGCATTCCAGGTGGGATAGCCTTTTGCCCTTTGCAATCTTGCTCTTTCGACCTTCTTAAACTACCATTTTTACACTCTGATCTAAAACCCTGACCACATTTTTTCTTGAGCTTCAATTGCGGCCCGCTTGTGCATCGTAACCAAAGTCTCCAGCCAAAGTTGACAGCTGCATCTTTCTCTTTTGATACACCCTTACATACAAGATATTTGAAAAGTACCTAAACACATGCAAGTTAGTTCTTTAAAAAAACAAAAAACCTAAAGAACTTTCCTATTGAGACTCTCCCCTTTCTTTTGCAGGTGAAACCTCTTGCAATCCTGCATTCGGCGTTCGAGGAGGTCCTCTTCCTAGACGCCGACAACATTCCCGTGGCCAACCCCGCTGCCCTCTTCCGTTCCGCCCAGTACCAGACCTCCGGCGCACTCTTCTGGCCGGACTTCTGGCAGACCGCCACCGCAAACCCGATCTGGTCGATCCTGGGGGTGTCCCCCGGGGGGCAAGAGCAGGAATCGGGGCAGATCCTCGTAGATAAACGCCGCGCCTGGGGGGCTCTCAACCTGGCGTTTTTCCTCGCGAAGGATCCCCCGTTCCAGAAGCTGGTCAACGGCGACAAGGAGGCGTTCCGCCTGGCGTTCCGAGCGACCGGAACGCCGTTCGCCATGGTCGGGACGCCGGTGGCCGCCGCGGGCGCGGAAACGGATTCCGGCGGATTCTGCGGGCACACCATGGTGCAGCACGACCCCGACGGGGCGCCGCTGTTTCTGCACCACAACTCGCTCAAGCACGGGGCGGCCGTCACGTGGCAGACAATGAAATCGGTGCCAGCTGGCAAGGGGTGAGCCACGTGTCCGTGGGTCAGCTTCCTGGACAATCTTCGGGCCCGGTTCTATGTCTAACTTTGAGCTGTAGCGTGAGATGGATCGAAAGACAAAAACTATTCCAGGATGATTGACGCACTCAATTTTGACCTATTTCTCAAATGCTATTTTCTCTTCCCTTTTTTCCCCTTGGGCCTCAAATCTACAGAGCGTTTCAGAAGGTGTTCTTCGGATTTACTGGTTTCACCTTTCCAAAGAGGTGAAGCATTCGTTCGTTGCGATGGCATGCTTCGTACATATACTTTGCATCCTGTCGGCTGCAAGATTCGCCCGAGCTTTTCCACTTGTTGCGTCAATCATTTCCAAATGCCAACTTGCAGACGAGAACCATTCAAACGATCACACTTCGATACCTTCCTGCGAGCCTTGGTTTTCACGAAGCAGCCTCGTACCTTCTTGATCTCATAACAGGACTCCACTTTCCCTCCCCCAGGTTCACCGCAGTCCCGCTCCCCCCCGCCACGATCAACGGCGAGCCCGTCTCCTGCCTTGACCTCACTGGTGCTGACGTTATCGTTGCTCCCGATCCGTTCTCCGCTTTCGAGGAAACATTTGCGCAACTCCAGGCTGCCGTGGATTATACCCTGAAACGCGCCTCCGAGGACGAATTCACTTCCGTCAGTCTGGCGACTGCGAGAAAGCTGCTCCAGGCCAACGGTGAGGCAGCCCGCGCCTTGTGGTCGCCGAAAATGATTGATTAACCGTATGCTCAAACTGAAGAAAGGGTTTCCTAGGCAGTTGGTTTAACACTCCGCTCACTGTAAATAATCTTGATCAAGAGCGTGTCTCAGCCCCGCACTTCTAGCTGTTTCACCGGTGATCTGAATCCTTCTCGAAAGCTCGTGCTCCTGTTCTCTTCTTCGGACTCGTCCCCAAACGAGTGCGGCCTGCTTGTTCTAATCAGTGGTATCCCAGACAGGGAGCATCCACGACGCAAAGAAGCATACATTAAAATCACCAAGACGCAGTATTATTGCCTGACGAAAGCAAAGATGGTGAATCCAGTATCTTCCGATCAAAGCCCCACACGTGCCCCGGTCAGCAATTCTGTCTCCCCAATCGCCTCGCTTCCACCCAGTTCATCCATGAAGGCCTCGCCTAAGACGCTGTTTCCCCATTTCCTCGCCCACTCTAGATACAGCCCCGGCGCCGGCGCCGGCGCCCATGCCCAAGCCCACCGCCTTCCTGCTGACGTCAAACGTGGCCACGCAACTCCCGGTTCCCACCCTGGCTGACGTCACCACGCAGCCCCCGGTTGAAACCACGTCCCCCAACCCCCCAACCGTTCCCTCGGTCTCTTCTGACGTCGAGCCCGGTACAACTGCCCCAGGTTCAGCAAACACCGCCCCGGTCCCAACCGGCTCGCTCCCGGTCACAACCGAGTCGCTTACCCCTAACCCGACTACTCTTCCTCTAACCGAAACCACTCTTCCGCCGACCGCATCTTCTCTCCCTGCGGGCGCTGTCACCGGTCTTCCAACCACCCCCCCGCAAAACCCGGACATTCCGGTCGTTATAAGTACTAACCGGCCAACAGATGTTGTCCAGCTGATGGGGGGCCCCCCTTCTGACGGGACTCTTGTTACGGTCGATGCGACGCCCGCTCCCAGCTCGCCGATTGAAAGCACCGGTGCTCCTGCCCAGGTGACGTCAGCACCGGTGGGGACCGCTCCGGGCATGACTACCCAAGTGACGTCAGCACCGGTTGGGACCCCTGAACCGGGGCAAACAGCTGCAGTTCCAGTCCCGACGGGAGTAGGCACGACGCAGGGCCCAGTTTTCGACCAAACGCTGACCATAACCCAGCCCCCGGTTAACACCCAAACCGCGGTCGGATCTCAGCCCCCATTCGCAACCTCGGCCCCGATAGAAACCCCACTTCCGGTCTCATCCCAATCGACGGTTACTCAAGCCCCAGAAACAACTCAAACTCCGGATTTAACCCAAACCCCGACTGGGTCTCAGCCCCCAGTCTTAACCCCAGCCCCGATCTTAACCCAAGGGCCGGTATCATCTCAAATGACGGTTACGCAAGCCCCAGAAACAACCCAAACCCCGGCTTTAACCCAAACCCCGACTGGGTCTCAAGCCCCGATCTCAACCCAAGCGCCGGTCACAACCCAAACCCCCGTTATCAGTCAAACCCCGCTTGGATCCCAGTCCCCGGTTGAAACCGCAACCCCAATCTCAACCCCGGTGCCGGTTACAACGCAAACCCTGCCAGTGGTTGTTACGCAACCTCCGGAAGCAACCCAGACGTTGGTTACAACCCAATCCCCAGTCTTCACGCAGACCCCGGTCACAACCCAGACCCTAACCACGACCGATCCTCCGGTTAACACCCAAACCCCGCTGGGAACTGAGAACCCAGTCGTAACCGCAGCCCCAACCCAGTTGCCGGTTACAACCCAAACCCCGCTCGTTACGGAGTCCCCGGAGACAACCCAATCTCCGGTCACAACGCAGACCCCATCAACAACAGAAACCCCAGAAACTAGTCAGCCTCCACTTACGACGCAAACCCCGGTCACGACCGAGGTTCCTGAAACCACCCAAACCCCGATGAGCTCTCAGTCGGTCCTGGTTACCGAAACCCCGGTTACTACTCTGTCTACGAGCCCTACCAGCACTCCAGTCACTTCGATCTCTCCGGTTCCCTCGCTCTCGCCGATTCCCACCGTGACGGTCTCGCCCAAGACGCCGTCCCCCACTCTAGTTACCCCCGCCCCGGTTTCTACTCCCAAGCCCACCGTCGCCTTGCTGACGTCACCCTTGACGCCCGTGCCCACCCCGGCTGACGTCGTCACGCAGCCCCCGGTCGTCGTTCCGACCGAGGTCCCCGCTTCGAACGTCGTCAGCCCGAGCACCACGAACACGATAAGCGTTCCGGGTCTGCCCGGAGAGTTCCAACCGGCCGAATCCTCCCAGCTTTTGAGGACGGTGAAATACCTGGAGTCCATACCCGGTTCTGCCGAGTTTGCGGCCGAGTTTAACAGTCCGACGCCCCAGAACTTTGGTGGCGTTCTTCAGGTGAGAACTTGATGTGGGCTCCGTAGTGTAGAGACGGGCTCGAGGCTCAGTCACTAATTCTTGCACAGTCTCGTCAGACCGCGAATCTGTGCAACGGAAAAACGATCCTACAGGTCTCTGCCGTCGTTCAGCGCTTTAAGAGCGAGAATCTGAGAAGAAGATGTGGACGAGCTTTCATTCGATTCACAATAAAAAGCCCTTCTATCCAGCTCACTCAAATCTCCTCTGCGATCCTTTGAAACGGAAGTGCTCTTCTCACGACCGTTTGAATGCTTGCAAGGATGCAAAGTCGCGAAGCATGAAGTTCCGCTTTCGTGTTTACTCTTCGACCTTTGCAGGTGCCTAAAGCGAAGGACTTTACGAACGATGCCAAGGTGACCATACCCTATCAGCTCACCGGAGCTACGGCAGACCTCTGCGGGCCCACGTGCACGGCTCTGTGCCAGGTGAGGCGATGGCACGTGGTAACCTTTTAGTGCGAACGTAGCGGGCAAAGGAGATTCCACTCTCTGAACGATGGAATGGTGACAGAAAATGGCGTACGTTTTGGAGCACCGGAGGGTGCGGTTTGCGCGTACAATTGCAGAAACGGAGGATGCAATTTGTGCTTGTGCAACAAATGTCCTGACACGGAATCGAGACATCGTACAGCGCAGGGGGTGATCTAGCCTTCGCTCAAATATAAAAGCGCAAGCTCAATCCGTTACCGCGACGCGCTGATCGAGAACGAGACTGATTGCGCGTGCATCGTTCTCACTTTTTGTGTGGCCTTGACCCGTCTCAAATTCTCGTTGATTGCATCTTTTTCCAAGATCGACGACGGAACCCCCGAGGCGTGCGGAGGCACCCAGGCGGTTTCCCAGCCGGGCGACCTGTCAGACGGCTACCACAGGGTGACGGTCGCCTTTTACCCCGCCCCGGAAGCGCCTGCCCCTGTCGCATTACTCAGCACCTTCTTCACCGTTGGTGAGTACAGGGCGTTTCGCGACTCTTTTATGTATGAAACAAACAATCTGTTCAAATCACGCAAATCACTTCGATTTATCATGGCTTGAGTTACGGAGGTGAGTGTGCTCTTGAGCAGCTTGACCGGCAAATATGGGGATGTGTCGCTCCAGAGATGACTGCGGGTAATCTGTAATTTTCTGAACGTTGAGTTTCGTTCAGCAGCAGACGGGCAGCGTCTGCACGTGCTAACGGAAGCTGGAGACTTGTTTATACTCCTCTAGGCCACTGCGCCTTTCGTGCCAACGCCATCTCAGCTTCAACTGACGTCACCTTAGCGTCTTCCACGTTGTGTTCCCAAGTCAAAACTGAAACACTTTTGCGGTTTGGGCCACCTGAGCGGCACCCGCTTCTGCAGACACCCTCGGCCAGATGTTCTCTTCTCGCTTTGTCAGTGTCGTCTGCGAACTTCCCCAAACATGTGACGAAGACTTTCGACAAGGAGAGCCGCTCCCTCTATTGAGCCCTAATCATGTCGTCTCTTGTGAAACGACTATGAGTCGCAACGTCTTGTCCGCTTAAATGGGCGCACCTACCGATTTGATCGCCCTACCCTCCGTGTAACAATTTCACCTCTGGATTGAAGACAAAGAAGATGATTCTCGTTAACTTGACTTGTTTGCAGATACGGTCTCCCCGACCATTTCGATCGCCCTCGAAGCAGACAGCACCGAGTCCCCCCAGGTCTTCATCGACGCCTCCACGGGCCAGCAAACCGTCTTCATAACCTGGGCGACGATCCAGCCTTTCCCGGGTTACGCGGTTGCCAGCGAACCGATCGGCGATCTGAGCCCCGACTCCTTCAACCTGGAGGGAGCCCAGATTGTGAACGTAAAGAAAGAAGATCCAACTGGAAGGGCGCGGAGAAGGGCGCTTTTGCAGGCGACCGCGCTGGGGGGGAACTCGTCCGGAACGGTCGCCTACAGCTTTCAGGCGAGCGCTCGAGCGGCGTATAAGAATGCTTTGTAGCTTTCCACAATTCGATGCTCTTCGTCTTCATCTGGAAGCCCCTCTTCCGATTGCAACAAGACACACAGTAAATCAAGATAAACTTGCTGTCAACTAAAAAAATTTAAACAGGAGTTGCGTCATCTTCGAACACCTCGAGAGGACTACCATCATTTGGAGCCCAGTCTTTGAGGCGCTGATTCTGAAAGGACCCAGGCCGATTTGTTCCATGGGTGTTCCAAACCTGAAACATAAGATTTGGATGGATCTTTACAACCTACAGCAAAATACCTTTTTTTGTCAAACTATCAGTGTTTGAGAATTCTATACAACAAAAGCTCTAAGCGAAGGCATAGAGAGAAGGGGGCGGTGGCTCTTCTATCTTTTGTTGGTAGCTTTTCTATATTCAAAAAGCGCCCACGTGAGTAAACGTTCACGAAATGGATGTACTCTTCTGATCAGAAAAATGCCCTGATTGCTCCAGGTAGTCCCGGCTGGCTCCGGCCCACAGCTGCTGAGAGTTGCGGTTAATCCCGGGAACATTTTCGACCAGGCGGGGAACCCCATCCAAGTGACGTCGGAGGCTGCCTACGTCATATACTACGGTCAGTACTGTACTGCTCTCCTTCGCATTCATCCGATGTCTCTTGAATTTAGGAATAGTAAGAGCTAGCAATATTAAGCTTCTGCACTAACACTAAAAACCTAAACCACATAATCACCCGCTCCGCACCCGAACCCACCCTAACCCCCAAACTAACCCTACCCGTCCCAGGCTGCCAGTTACCTTACTATTGCTGAAGCTTACTATTGCTAAATTGAAGAATCTTATTCATCCGGTTGTACCTACGCTCTGACTGGAACCACTCCACAACCCGCTGCAATCTGAAGATTTAACTAGTTGGATTTTGAACGCGGCTTTCCTCGAACACCCCAGCATTGCTCGCGGCGCTTTTGCCCAACGGCTGTAGTGACGGCTCATTTACGAATGCAACAAGGAATCACACCCATACGTTGCTCCGTTAATTCCGTGCAGACACTGTTCCCCCCAGCGCCCTCCTGCAACTGGTGAATAAGGATCCGAATGGCGTCGTGTCACTCTCGCCGGACCCGGGGGTTTCCCCCGACCGCGTCGTGACCGTCGTGCTGTCGTTCGACAAGCGAGTTCTGGGGTTCGACGCGACTTCGATGATCATCCAAAACGGGACGCTGATCGAGTGAGTCAAACTTTACATTTTGTAACCTCAACAACACGATAAAACTTCGGTAAGTGAGTGCCGGATACTTTCTGACTTAGAAGATTTTGGTGGTTGCAGGGCTCGCCAGAGGCTTGCAACTTCAGGCTTGGAAAGAGCTTCCTGGGTTTCGTCATGGTTGATGCGGAGAGCTTTGTCAACTTTTAACACAGAACTTTTCTTACTTACTGATCGTTCTTACGTGTCATCGGCTTTCTGCGGTAATTTTGACCCGTCCCCGACTAAATGCTTTAAGATCTCGGATTCCGGTGTTTCCTGCTGACATAGGTAATGATTCACTGCAAAGTTCTCCGCCCGAGAGCCCGCCGAAAGCGTTGTTGAAGTCGTTTTAATACCGTCCCCACTCCGCTTATAGCGGCCTTGGCAGGCACAAAAGCCATAAGCACTGGCTCACATTCACAACCCAGCCCTGAATCCTCTCGTAACACGTTCTCGGTTACGGTTGGAACCAATTTTCTGTCCGCTGCAGGGCCGGTCCGAATGCCGCCACCGCAGACGGCTTTTCGTACGTCTTAACCGTGGTCATTGACCCGAACGCTAACCTCGTGATCCAAGCCCCCGCGGACAGCGCTTACAGCATCGTGGGGATCGGGAACACGGCGTCCAATCAGCTGCAAGTGCTCAACTGTAAGCGACCATTCTCGCCACTCGCAGTGCGCCACGTGGCCGCTTGCTCTCTCGGCACTTGTTTTCCCCCCCCCGCGTGTTGGGCGCTTGCTCGTCCGGGGTTTCGAAGACTTCTGCGAAGGCGGAAAGCGCCGTCTAGTATGAAACCGTTCTAACGATAAAGTTGAAGCTTCCAAGCCCCCAAAGTAAGTCGCCGCGAGGCATTTCAATCTGGACCTACCGTTCAATGCTTTCAAAATTCTGCTGCATGCAAACTAGAGTACCGGCAGATTGATTTGGAGGCTGAAAAATGGGATTGTATCGCCGCCTGAGGCTCCATCCCTCTCGTGAACCCATAAGCCAGGTCTGCAAACAGTCTGCTTTCGCCCAAAAATCATCCAGGCGTAATGAGCTTACATACATCCAAAGCCGCTATTACTTTGAAAGCGAGCATCTTTGATGCCGTTAGGGCTTTGCGTAACGACACTCCTGCCTTCAGCGTGCTTCAATCACTGGACAAACCCCCATGAACGCAATCGGAACACAATCTAAGAAGCTCAAAATAGGGTTTCCTCGAATGTAGAAGTGAACAGCGGCTCTAACTAGCGTCTCCTAACACCCTGAAACCTTTAAACCCTCGTAGACAACGTTGACCAAAGGCTCCAGACGGGCGTGCGCGCGGCCGCGATCGCGTCGCTGGGGGTAATGGCGGCGGGAACTTTCTTCATCCAGGCGTCGTCGAGCTTGTTCATTGTGAGTGCAGACGACAGAGTTCCGGCCTTTATTGGCTATCATTTCGAATCTTTCGTTTCTTTGTGCACGATCATATGAGTCTTCCAGGCGTTGTCGAGCTTGTTCATTGTCAGTGCAGAAGGAAAAGCTTCGACTCTTTCACTTTCTTTCCAATCTTCAGTCACATTGATACACGAGAATGCAATTCTTTCGTCCTCAAGCTCGTTAATCGTAAGTGCAAACTGCATAGCTTCGACTTTAGTTCTTGCTTCCCTCCCCCATTTTTCGTTTCTGGGTACACGGTTTTGCGTCTTCGAGCTTGATCATCTTGAGCGCAGCCTGCAGAGCTTCAGCTCTTTTTGCTTTCAGGGGAGATCTTGGCTGTTAACCAGGCTGTTCATCAGAATCGATTCTCAGGTTGATGTTAACCCTGTTCCAAATTATCATCGCGCAAGTCTGGTTCCTCGACAGTTAAGCCTTTTGTGACCAGCCCATAGCTAGCCCATAACCAAACATGATTGAGGGCCAAAGACTCCCCTACCGTTTGTCTCTTGGTTACACGAGGAGTCAGGTCGTGCGTCTTCAATTTTGTTCCTCTTGGGTTCAGCATTCCTACCTGTTTGGTTTCCCATGTTATATTCTTCCGCTGCACCGTGTCCAGGATTTGATTCTTGGTACACGAGAAATCATGACGGGCACCATCGTGAATGCTGACGTCAGACCTTCGGCTTTCTACATGTCTGTTCGCTTTCGCCAGCTTCTCAGTCCTCTCGTTTGCCGCTACCCAGAGGGCTTCCGCAAGATTCATAAGGAGGCTCTGATCAGCCGGACTCAGAATCTTCTCAAGCGCCTTTTCAGTGCCAAAAGCTCCGGCCGATGAACTGCATGTCCTGAAAGATCTCACGGAGAGTCCACGTAGTTTTCAAGAATTGTTTCTTGAATTGTCTTCAAACTGTCGTCTAATCCTCCGCGAAGGTTTTTTGCTTTCCGATCTCAAACTTCCATCAGTATTTGGAAATCCTAAAACCTCTGGTTGTTTCCGCAGAACGTGGCTTCCAGCTTGAGCCTGTTTGCCGCCCGCCAGAGCCTCAACGCCCCGTTGCCGACGCCCTATATCGACGCCAGTTCCGCTCTCTCCTTCTCCCTGATGCGCTGGCCGTCGCCATTCGACAGAATCACGCGCGACAGCCCCATCCCCTATACGGACCGCCCACAGGGGCTAAGTTCCGGCGTTCCGTCCGGCGGAACGAACGGAACGCTAGCGGCTACGAGGGAGCGGCTCGGCCGGCGGCTGCTCCAGGCCCAGCTGGGGAACGGAACAGTAATCAACGGAACGGCTAACAGCAGAACGTCTACCAACGGAACCGCGGTGCCCGGTCCTTTCGACGGGACAATTCCGCCCGTTCCGTTTAATCTGTCAACGACGAACCGTTTCATTCCGGCTAACGCGTCGCTGATCAACCAGGGTCGTCCCGTGACCTTCAGCGAAGGAAACATCTCCTACGAGGCGCGCGCCGAAATCTACAGCCAAGAGCTGAGTGTGAATACGCTCAACCTGTTCCATACGGTGGGCCATAACGGGTGAGGAAATAGATGCGACGGGTCTTTGAACCGGCCTGTGTTTGACGCTCGCGCAGCTTTGTTCGTGGGAATATCCTGATTATCCAGACCAACTCCGCCTGTCTTCCGCACTCTGGCAATCTTAATGAAGCTCTCTTTTCTACGAGAAGACGGTGACTGTGCTTACTTCCCTAAACCCTCGGACTTAAACGATTGATTTGGGTACTTACGAGGATATACTCACTTTCGAAATCACTCTCTGCCACATAATCTGCAGGCTGCGCGGCTTTCTCCGGGCGGTGTTTTGGATCACCATGATCCTGATTTGTATCGGACTTCTCCAGCTGGCCTCGAAACCTCTGGCGCGACTCCTCAAACGAGAAGCGGTCCCCTCGTTCCTGGTGTTCCCCGCCCTAGAGCTGACCTTCTTCTCCGTCGCAATCGTGGCGCTCGCTTACGTCGCGCTGGGAGCGATCGTGGGTGAGTGGTGACACGTGTCGTGCAAAGATGCGCTAATGAATCTTGTAGAGAAGGGGCCATGAATACCGGAAGACTTGTCTGTGCAAAGCTCTACATCACATGTGGTCCCCGTCAAGACAAAAAAACGTAGTTCTGTCCCGCACTCTCTCAGTAGAATCTGTTTTCGTTCTCGTTTCTAGAGCATGCTCGGGTTCCAAGTCACTCTACCACGCTAGGCCGCACTGATTCGTTCTTCTTCGAGTTTTTCGTGTACACCATGTTGAGAATGTGCTGACTCTTCCGCGCAGGTAAATCGCCAGCGGGCATAGTACTGGGCCTGGCCGTTCTGCTCCTCATCCTCGTTTTCTTCTTGTTCGTGCTGTCAATCCTGTGGCGCCACGTGCACATGGTGAGAGCTCTCATCCTTCCGCCACGTATGCGCTTTCCACCTTCGCTACATCAAAATCTTTGGGAGTCTTTGCAACCCTTACATACGAGTGTAAATCAACCACATCCGTGTTTTTGGTGCTTGAGCGAAGTGCTGCTTTTACTGCTGCCTCCGATTTTCTCTCTTCCGGTGACGATCAGAGCCCGCTGTACCAAACATTCCCTTTTGACTCCGTGCTCTCAGCTGTTTAGAAGCCTTTAGATCGCCCTTTCCAATCTCTAAATGCTCAGTACCCCCCTGACAATTTGACCTCCCTTTTTTGCTCTCTTCTGACTTGGTCACACTTCCGCTCTGAAGTCTCGGGTAAACCCAGACCTTTTGATTTGTATGTTTTAGCGGATCGATGCGTTCACCTGCTTAGAGTGTGCCTGACTCGCAATGAGATGCAGATTCCTAGTATAAAATAAATTGCCCGCTCCGGCTTGAAGTTCGAGACACCTTCAAAGGGAAGAAGCCCATTCACTAATATCAAGAAAAAGAGAGGTTTCGAGAAGTTGCGGCTTTTCTTCTCCCCCAGAGCAAGTCGGTCGCTTTCGTCTCCGAGCAACGACGCAGGGGGGCCTCCACGGCTTGGTTCAGAGCCCCCTTCGTCGGTTCGTGGGAGCCGGTAGACTCCGAAGAAGGCGACCTCTTCCGTGCGAAGTACGGGTACTTTTACGCCGACTACTCCGGTCGCCCCTCCGAACTGGTGAACATCGCCGGGTCGCTGATGCGCTCGGCGACCCGTAAGGGCGCCCCGACCACTCTGTCCTTAAAGACGCGCTCCCGAAGAAGCGATTCATGGTCTCCGGCCGTCGATTCCATCGTTTCTGGCGCCCGAGAGGAGGATTTCGTAGAAGACTTTTCCGTTCCGCTCACCAGTCGTTCCGGCGCGGCACCGGAAGTGGGCGAGGACTTGTCTACCGAGAAGAATAGCGACTCATTGCCAGAGGTCAGGAGCGGGCCACTTGCTGACGTCATTGAAGTCCAAGAGGAGGAGGGGAAGCACGTCGTCCACGTCACACCCGCGGAAGAAAAAGTTGGCGCAAGACCCACGTCGGTCAAGTGGGAGGCGCCGCTCGAGGCGGCGCCCGGCAAAGCGTCCGGGAAACTCTCCCGGTTGCAAAACGTGCGGTCGGTTCATCGGGTCGGAAGAGTGGGCTTCGCGACGCACTTCCGGCCGGGGTGGAAAATGATGTACCTGCTGGTGGTGGTAAGTAGGGCGGGGGCCCGATGACGTGATTGGATTCTTAGAATCGTAGAATCTGAAGGTTTTAAGGAGGTTTGAGAAATTGGGGTCGGAAATGATGTACCCAGTGCTGGTGGTGGTAAGTAAGGCGGGGCCCCAATTACGTGATTTGGGTTCTTAGAATCGTAGAGTTCCAAGGTCTTAGAACTAGAGTTTCAATGTTTCTGTTATTTCAAGACGATGTATCATTTGTGATGAGTAGATGGCGCCCGGGTTCTACGGCCTTTGGGGATCGTAGGGTTTTCACCACTTGGGAGAGAAAATGGTCCAGCAGGCGTTGAGTCAAGTCTTTGCTTTCACATGCATTCACGTGTGCTTGCATTTTACGGTGTGCGAGTGCTTACATCTCTGTTGAGACCTGCATCTCGCAAATCGTAATCACCGATGTTCGAAGTAAACCTCGCCGTTCTCATCGTTAATCACAAGCCAACTCTCCCTACGATCCAAGAGATGGAAGCGGCTCTGCTGGCTAAGACTCACCGGTTACTTGCATCTTGACCTTTGGGGTTCAGGACCTGAGCCTTATGATCACGACCTGACTACCCAAGTCATCCACCCGTTACTATCTTCTTCTCAAAAGTCAAGTGCCCCCGAATGCAGGCCATTGAAGCGGCTCTGCTGGGCGCCACGCACGGCGTGCGCTCGTCGTACTGGCAGGTCTGCCTTATCGTCTCCATGCGCGGACTTTTCGTCATTGTGCTGGTCCTCCTTAAGGTGAGGCCACAAACCCTCAAACGGGCCCCTTCCTCCGAACTCGTCTTCATCGTCTTTGCTTTCTTCACACACTCAATTTCTCGAGGCTTCGATCTGAACGGTTGAAATTGCTCAATTAAACATGTCAGTTGCGTTTTGCTTTTCAATTGAAACCCCTTCCGCCGCAATCCTTCGTCCGCCCGTGCGGGCCGAGCTGCTGTTCGGCCGCTGTACGTTTTGCCAATTTCACTGACGTCAAAGTGACCCGAAACAGATCCACAAGAGGCTTCCAACGAGAGACCCGTCCCGTAGAATCTCGCACGGGGTTGGTTCGGAGAACTGTGATTGAATCGCCAAACTCTGTGTCGCCGCAGCCCTTCATCCGCGCGCCCCTCCAGCTGGCCGAGATTTTCAGCACCGTGTGCGAGCTTGCTGTCGTCACGCTGGCGTTGGCGCTCGTGGTGAAGCAGGACGTCAACTCGAAGGGGCAGCTGCGCAGGAACGAGGAGGCGCTGGGCTACACCATGATTGCGCTGCAGCTGCTGTCCATCTTCAGCGGCGTAGTCAACGCGTGAGCGCGCGCGCGCCCGTCACTTTTTAGTTTAATGATTATTTTCTTGGTTGATAGCCCAGAGCTCATATTCCTTTCCAGTCGCAGTAAGTCCAAGCTGCTGGCCATCTTGAGCGGCGGTCTTCAACGCGCGACCGCGCGCGCGCAAGCCCCATGTTACGTTTCTTTGTTTTTGTCCGTCTTCTCACTGGGGGAAGGTTCCCGACGAAAGGCTCAAGGCTCGGTGCTGCTGACGTCACCAACGCTTTCAACCTGCAGGGTATCTTTAGCGCATGTAAACTTTAAGACGCGCGATCGTTGCTCGGAATTGTAACCTATGTGCTACCAGCATCCGACAGCCTGTTCGCATCTTGTTTTCAAAATCGCTTGTGGGCACCTTCTGTTTAAGGTCTTCACTTGGTTAGGTTTCTGTACTCCAGGTCTTTTTGAACTATTCTTGTAAATCTCGAGATCTGCAAGATCGCTGGAGTCGGCAAGCGCCCGTTAACGCATCGGCGACGCACAGTACGTATATCACCCTTCATTCCTCGAGTCGGAGTCTGTGCGCGCATTTTGAAAGACTTGAGTTAGCGGTTTGTCAGCTTTTGTCCTTGAGAATACGCGTTTTTCGGTCTGAATCAGGTATTTTCTTCTGCAGCAAGAGTCGAATGCAAGCGGTCGTTCCCCTTCCGGCATCTGGTAAAGACGTCAATCAAAATCGAATCCGGTATAAGGCTTTACTATTTTGAAGATAAGTCACTTAACGGTACCCCTACGCCCACCTCATACCCGTTCATATTTGTCTCTCTAATATCTTGAAACAGAGAAAGGACTTACCATGCAAAAAGTAACTGGTGAAGTTACTCCAGCTTCACTAGATGCGTGTGGGTCTCCGCCCCAGAGAGTCGGCTCGAAATCTTGGACTGAAATAACGGCGTCGTTGCTTCACGTGCAGGCTCGTTTCCATGACACTGAGACTTGTGGAGAACTTGTGCGGCAAGAAGACAGCGCTTCCGGTGCACTTCTAGCCGTTCCGGTCCACTAACATCGATCTGGCGGAAAGCAGAGCGACTCTGCGCCCTTCAATGACGGTTTCAGGAGCACTTCTGTAACGTTACGTAGCAATGTGTAGAACGATACTCGTAAAAGTGCAATCGAAAGGCTTGCACAAGTTTCAACGCGGTGTGATTCGCCATGCGGACAATAAATTGGACGTGGTTTGAACAATAAATTGAAAGTTGTTTGAAAACAGTGTCGTGTATACCAATGGGAGCATCAACGTACTGACACTGGCAGTGTTCTGTAATCATCTGCTTTTACGTACGTTGATCGAACAAGACCCCGTTTCGTACTGCATGACTAGACTCAAAACACTAGAAAAGTGTGTCGAGTCCAAAAACCAAGCCTGATGTCTACACTGAAGGCACGGCGTCTAATCGATGATTGGAAGTTTTCCCGAACTTCATTGGATTGCCTGAGACGCGGTTGAGGTTTCATAGTGGTAACTTCTAAGCCTACGGGTCAGGAAAAAGTACAGTGAGACAGTGATCAGGCATTCAGTTGTCTAGAGTAATCTAGGCTCCGGGTAATTTGTAATGTCTAGATTGTCCAAAGTGCATGCAACAGTCACTGCTTACGACTGAAGTGGAACTAGTGCCACCAGTTCGGACAGCTGCCACAAGATATTTACGCTAGAGGGACGAAATCTAAGTTAGGTCGCATAGCCTCATATTGACATGCAGGCGGTCCGAGCAACTCGAATTTGAGCCTCATGCAGGCACCGTTGCCCTGTTGTTAAGCCCCAAGTTTGTAATTCCGGAAAGGGATTCACATATATGGCGACCCGAAAACGAGAGCCATCTTCAAGATATAGTGAGGTGTGGAAGCAGTCGACGTCGGGCTGTACTAAGTAGCAGTCGCGAAGTGACGTTAAGTTACACATGAATATAGTGCACATGCCAGATCTCTTTTTGAGAGGATCTGCCGGAGTCACGTGTTGGGCCGCAGATGGATGCTGATATAGCAAAACGTTTGTTAGGACTGCATGTTCGGGGCTGCGTCCAGTGTTGACAATGAGGTGCGTTTGATTAAAGTTGTCAAAATCTCAGTGCGCAATCGGCGACTATATCATATGATATGCCGCTACAATTTGACGTCCTTACTGACTGCCTGTCAGAAGTTCGGGATTAGCATAAGCTGCTTCCGGAGAGTACGTACCCGTTCAAATGGCGGGTGTGACACCTGTTTCGGCAACGCTCCAGTTCTATTTATACTGTTGCGCGACTTAGGTTTCTCTCCTCTATTGACGACAATACAAGGCATCTGCTAATCATGCGATTTAATGAAGTTCCAAACGGCGTTCAGCGCTAGCAATGCAGTGCCGCGAGTCTCTACGAGTTGTGCTCTGACAATATGAGCGTCTGTTGTACTAGTGTATGGCCGCAGATGATCTTCAGGGGTCAGAAGGCGTGACGCTCAGTTGAACGTCGAGTGTACACAACGGTGAATAGTACTTACCGTAGGAATACCGTACTGCAATTGCTCCTAATTGGCTTATCCTGGGCCCGGAGGTTGCCAGAGTTGCCCGCGACGTTGCGCGACTTTCCGCGATTCTGCGCGACTTTACGCGACTGAGTCCGCGACTTTGTTCCGCGAACTTCGCAACCTTCACTGACCGCGACTTTATCAATCTTTGAAAAGCATGTTTTGAAGCAACTTTTATGTTTATATGCTTGCAATGCTCCGCGACGTTCCGCGACTTTTCGCGACTTTCCGCGACTTTCGTCCGCGACCTTCACCGCGACTCTGCGACCTCCGGGTCCAGGATAGGCCTCTTGAGTGCGGTGCTCTGTTACCTCCGTGTGGCGCTTGGAATGTCAATTGTCCCAAGTACTGCAAGTACAGATTACCATGTCCGAATGTCCCCCCCATGCCTTCGATCGTGCGCTCGGGCTATATAACTATTATAAGAGAAGTGTCCATCACTCCCTTCCTCCCATCTGTGTGGCTTTTAATACTGTACCGTAGACGGTATGATAATGAAGTTCGCGCCCGTTCAACCTTACGGTTAGTTTATCGACGGTGCCGAGGCTTCCAAGATGGGGTCCCAGGTATACCACGTGGCCACAACGTACGGCTTGCAATTGCTCACGAGCCCTTGGCAGTCAGTACGCACGCTTCTGGGGCTTTGACACCACCAACCTTTTCTGTGCCCAATTGGCAGGCTGTGTCAAGACGAAAGTTCGGGAACGCGGCGACGCCCTCACTCTAATTACCGGAGGGCGTCGCCAGCAAACTTTAGGGTCCACATTTGCGGTTGCCAGAGAGCATTTAATGCTAACCCCATCGAACGATCCAGAGGGTCAAAGTTGGGGGCTGCCCCCATCGATCGACGGTTCCAAACTTTTTCTAGCGGGTCCAAGAGCGTGCGTACTGACTGTTGGAAGCGCCAGCTCAGTCACTGAGTCTGTCACTAATATGTACGTGCGATTCGCTAGGGCCAATTGTTTCGAGGGTATGCACCCGGGGAACGGTTAGGGTTAGCTGGAGGTTAGGGTAGGTATGTGCGGGGAAAGAAGCGCGTAGCGGCGTAGATTTTTGGGTTGGTGCTTAAATTAATAACAGATGTGCTCGGGGCTCATGTAACAGTTTTCTGTCAAAACATTCTAGATTCTGACCAATGAGAGATTATTCCAATAATTGCACAAGTGCCTACCGTTCACCAAATATGACATTATTATACCTAGAGGCTGATGAGCACATGACAAAATCAATTTGCAGAGTTGTCCACTCTTTGAAGTTTGAGTCGACTCTCAAATCGAGGACGCAATGCGGAAGTCACTTTCCATCAAGCGCGCAGGGCTTTGACATCTTGTCCTAGTGCGCCTGCAACAATCATTGTGAAAGAGCAGCAGCCTGCAGTTTCTTGGATGTCTCCTCTGTATCTCCTGTGTGACTCAGATGATCCTAAGAACTGAATTTGAGGTACAGGCGCCAGCGTTTCCTTCTAATGTGATTCAGCTAGGATGTGTAGAAATCGTAACCCCTAGCTCAGCTCCTCTGAGTCTGCGACGGTATTGGCACAGCCCCTGCAGTTGGGAAAGTAGCAAAGCAACCCCATCAGGCCCTCCACAGGAAGCTAAATCAGGTTTCTGCACCTTGCTTGCTACCGGCGTCTTTTGCTTCCGTCATGTTCTGCCGGAATACTTTGAGCTGCAAGTGGAGGGCTTAGGTCGTTGTCAATGCCAATAGCAGCATGGCGCCCCAGGGTATACTACAGAAGAGAGTGCTTGGGATCAGACTGGCTGCCATTGTGGCTCTCACAGTTCTCCTCTTGTTCTCACTCTACGCCACCCTCGTCGCAAATCACAACCCGCTTGACACGACATCTGAAGGATCCTCCGCCGACGTCAGCAATGTGTCAGCATTCTTCCAAAGCCTTTCGGACAAGGTGGGGTTTGGCAGGGAGGATGCGCGGCTTGATGCGATCAGGTCTGAGATGTCCGACATGCGCAAAGACATGGAGAGGCTTAGAACCGATCAAGTGGGGACTCGGGCAGCGGTAGACGGCTTGAACCAAACCTGGGGGGCGTTCTTTGCTAGTTTCAGAGGGCAGGGAGGGACATATCAGACTGGATCGAAGAAGGATTCTCTTTCTGACATGTCATTAGAGGAGCTAGACAAAGACGGTGAGCTGGCTGCCGATGAGCTGGCTGCAAGAGCAGCTGGAGAGAATGAGCTCCCAATGCAGTCAGGTTTAGCGGGGCAGGCTTTGGAAGCTCAAAAAGGAGGGCTGAGGCAATGCACGTCAGGAACGTTACTAGGCTCCTGGCGCAACTCTTCTTTCGTCCCGCTTCCATATGACGCCATGCAAGTCTTTCTTGACGAAGCGGAGGGATCCCTTTCCCCGGAGCGCACCGCGGGTTTGGAGTATGAGGGAGATGACTTTGGGTCCGTTCTCGACGCATTCCCTGACCTTGTAGAGAATCTAACAGAGCGCTCTGATGGGCAGCTTCATTTTCAGCCCCCCTGCTTCTACCATTTTTACTCGAAGGAAGACATTCTCCGCCTCTTTGCGGGGAAATGGGTGTTCTTCATCGGCGACTCAAACACGAGGGCCTTGTGCTTGGGACTCCTTACCATTCTAGATCCCACCCATAACCAGCCGTACAGCGACACGCTCTGGTTCAATGGCACGGGGGAGTGGGACGAGTTTCCCCACATTGCGATCGTGGACTATTTTTTCAGGGGGGACGGGAGCATTCTGTTCAAGACCGCACGAGACATTCTGAACCCGGATAAGCTGCCAACGGAGCCATACAGCGTGCGCATAAGCTATCGGATGCGGGAGGTGAGTGCCTTCAGCTTATGAGTATGTTTGGTGGTTAGAATTGTTTCTTGGAAGTGACAATCTAACAAAATACAGAACGCACCGAAATCAAACAACGCAGGCTCCATCTGAGCTTAACATATCAATCATCAGCTGCCACACCCAAACAAGGGTGATGTAAAGAGATCTTTCGAGTTGGTGATTGCACCTTGTCGTACTTTGCTTCTCTGTTGCCATGCTCAGTGTCTTTCTTCTTCCTCAAATAGAGCCATGCCGGCCTATTATATGTCGAACCTCCAGGCAACCTACTTGTAAAGTTGGCACCATGCCTTTCCAAGCATCGAAAGCTACAGAAGGACTCACATCAGTTTCTCAAACCCTGTTCCTCCGACAATACTTCCGTATCTTGTCTCCGGTTTTCGGAAGCACACAAGAGAAGTGACAGGCACAATTGTAAATCCGTCTCTTTCAGGATGCTCAAAGCTCTTCCAAGTTCCTCCAATCAAACATTCGGGCAGAGGGTTACACCGAATTACCCAATCTGCCAACCTCGTAATGTTTCTTTGCCGCCTAAATTAATCCTACATTTGAGCACGGATTCAGTCTCTGAATTTTTCGATCTCAACATGCATCTCCTGAGCAAAGTCGCAAGGACCCGTCAACAATCTTAGTACTTCCAAACCGGGCCGAACCCTGCACGCCCAAAGACAAGCCTCGCTTGGTTCCCGACGACTCTGCGGCACTTACTTGATTCCCGATCTTCGCAGGACGTTGGGAACGTGCTCCAAAAGATTCCAGAGACAATCGGGGAGAAGGACTGGCAGCCGGACTTGCTCTACTTCAACAGCGGCAGCTGGGACGCCTTTTTCCAGGACCAGCGGAAACGGAACTGGACGGAAACGGACAGAATGTATGGCGTTCTGATGGACCATATCGCGTCTACGTGTGATCCCCAGCGACAGGTGAGGCGGGTGGTTTAGAAATGAGCGTGGATCTGGCAACCTGTTAAGTAAGACGTCTGCATGCGAGTCGCCGAAAAGTGTCGGGTCTAGTTAGTGGAAAGTGACGTCAGCAAGTCAGTACCCCATAGCCAGAAACATGCAAAGGGCCCTCTTGAGAAAGCCTGTTGGTTTCACATTCATATGGAGAATTGTCATTCCCTGAAGTTCGGTTTTCCAAGCTGGAATACGGAGTTGCAATGGATAGGCAGGCTGGACTTTTATGCGCGAAGGCTTCACTTTGCCGTTTAACGTCCGACAATCAGATCCAAAACCGCTGAACTGAGTGATTCAATCAAGCAAGCACCCGGATCGTTACGAACGGCTGTCACGGGTTCGTACGAAGTTTCGCAGGTTTATCGGAGGTCCCGTCTTTCACAGACATTACAGTCGATCTATCATACATCTCGTTATATCAAGGGGACCTTTTCTCAAATCTTTCCAGTCCTGAAAATGTCGTCGGCGCCTTTTCCTCTCCCTTAGTGCGCCAACAGCCTTCGTGTGTTGGGCAGGGGCTCCTTTGTAAGCTTTTGGTTGCATGTGCATCTTCGTATCGCCCGCTAATAAAGTTCCTTCCGCTTATAGTCGATCCGACAAAAAGCAGGCCGGATATCAAACATACTCAATGCAAGCTACCTTGGCAGCGGCCTAAATCTGGCAGTTGTGTTTTGAAGACATGCGAACAGATACTGCTTCCAAACTGCGTACGGGGAACGCTCATGACCAGCGACCTTAGACTTGCACAGATCTCTCGCAAAACCCACACGACGCTGTCAATCTGTAAGACTCTAAATGCAAGAACCGGACTGCATATGCGTCCTGAACTTCTCATACAAGCGAGATCGAGGGGACGACGGTGACGGCTTACAATGTTTTTCCTCGCCCCGCAGGTGTGCGTCTGGGGAACGCTGACGAGCAACGTCGGCTTCCAGAACGTGCTGTACCACTCCCGGTTCGCGCTCATGCAGTGGCGACACATCGCCCGCATCATGCGCGCGCAGGTCGCCGGAGCATCGACGCGCCTGCACTTTCTGGACCGGTTCTGGTCGTCCCACGTCAGCGACCAGCGGAGGGGGGGGCACTACGGACACATGGTAAATATCTGGGACGCTCAGCGGCTTTTTAACGTTTACGAGGGGATAATGGCGGAGAACTTCCGCTTAGGGGTGGTGGGGAGTGCGGAGATTCCGGAGGGGAAAAGTAGCGGGGAAAGGTTGGCGGAGAGACGAACTAGGATCGGGAGAAAACCACCGCAGTGCGAGATGAGGGTGGAGCAGGGCCACGTAGTTCGCGCGGAGTGCGATTGGTTCCCCGAAAGGGTGACGTTTGCGGAAGGGTGCGTTTTGGTGCCGGATGAAGTGGCAGAGCAGACGCATTTTAGCAATTACACTATGTGGGAGGCGAACTGCGAAGCAAAAGTGGATTAATTTCGTTACACCCAAAGCATCCGTGTGGATAAAGTAGTACTCAAAGCGGTGCTCTTATAAATACGAAAGAACAGTGGCGGCAAACACGTCTTGCCGGCGTGCAAACTTAGGCTCCGTGCATCAGTTTACAGAGACTCTGGTCAGCATACAATTGTACAAGTACAACGTCAGCATATTGATCCCCTCCGAGTGACGACCAGTCACTCATTAAAGCAGAACGCTGAAGCTAGGCTCGTACTGACGTAAAGGACGGTGCAGAAGTCAGCAACTTACTAAGCAGTCAAAAGAAGCGGAATCAAAGTCGACCAGGTGTAACCAGACCAGATAGAGGATTAGTGAGAGGCTGGGTTCAAACTCCGGCAGTTCGTTTCAGGACTACTTGAGTCACCTTCCCATTCGACGGAAGACTTTTCTTCGTCCAAGCGCCGCGCGCTAAGCATATTGAGTCGGCTTGCATCATAGTTGGCGTCCAAAGCGCTCAATCAGCTAGAGTGGTTCATATTTCGTACATCACCTTCAAGCTGTTACAATCTACTGATAAAGTCAAATGATCACGGTGTTAGGGTGTGCGGCATGCTACTTGCTTCCGACTCAAACGGGTTGTCAGCGAACTTCTTAAAAGCAGGTTACCAACAGCAATTGCGTGGCGGGCCACAACCCGGCAGGCCGCCCGCCTCTGTTTCTCTCACGCCCGACCGCGCGGACGGTCGATCGGGTTCAGCTATGCGCGCCCTCCCAGACCATTGAATTACGCGACTGGCCCGCGGCCTGGCGCCGGCGCCGGCGCAATTAAGCCAGGTTCACTGGCACACGTTCGATTCACTTCATGCGATCAAATATGCCAGCATCTAGTCGGATACTAATACTGTACTGAAGGGCGGGGGCCACCGTCCGGACATGGTGGCCGGCCCAGTATACGTGATGAGCGCTTGTGGCCGCCAGGCGGCCTATAATCGGATCTAAACCGGCCGACGGTTGGACGGGCAATCTATATCGTAAAAATGTCCAAAACTGAAAGCTTGCTTGATTTACTTCCGCCCGGCCGGGGTCAATCGTTGAATCCAACTTATATGATTGCGCATCATGCGGTGTAATTGATTGAGTACATAAGTTTACCAGTGCGTCCGACGTGAACATGCCACTAAGCTGCTAGGCCAAAATTAATTGCATGTCGGAGAGTTCATATTTAAGGCCGGCCGGCGGCAAATAAGTTGCATTCTCCTGCAACCGCATGAGTCGGGCCGGGTCGATCGCGCGTCCGAGTCACCATTGCGGACTCGAGTTCTACTTAAGAACCATTGAATCGGACAGACAGGTATTAGATTGCAGTTGTTTGAACAATCAATGATCGCCGGCCGACAGCTCGATAGCTCAATTAGCTGGCTCGACTCAAACTAGTGGCTTTGAAGGAAGGTCGAGTCCGACCAATCAACATGGTATGGACACGGTTTGCCAGTTGATCAATTGTGCATGTAGATCGACGTACGGTACTGCCCTCAACGATCTGCGGCCAACGGTATACGTACTCAGATGCATGAATGGAATATCGAACATCCAAATTCGATATCTTTCAAGGTAGCGTTCCACTTCAGAACTTCACCTGTCTTCCTCATGGACGATCTGCTGCAATACCTTGTGTGCGTTTTTTATTTAATCAGAGTACATTTGCACGACACATCCACGTCACTTGCTGACTGGCGCAGTCTTGTAGAAGTCGGGGACCGTGTTGGGGAAGAACACCTGACGGATACCCTCGGCCCGGATGATCGGCAAGATGATTCCCGCAGCACCCTGCGCAAACCCAACAGATTTCTCAGATGCATATCCTGAGAAGTCAAGCGACGTCATCCGAGGGGAAAACCCGATTAGTGCATCCTAGGTCAGTCACATGGCAGAAACTTGTCACCAAAACGGCGCTTGCAAATAAGCCCACGAGCCAGGCTGAAACACACCGGCTGTTTTGATAAAAGCACTTGAATAGATCAGCCAATTCACAAATGGCCGATGTACTGGCATCAAGCGTCCTGATGATAAAGCTCGCTTCACGAATGGCCGACTTTCGGGGTTGTTGAGGTGTCAGGTGAAACTTGAATCGCTTTCAAAGACATGATGCTTTCACTGAACGAAGGGGGAATCCAGTGCTCGTTAGTATCTGTGAGCTAGAAACCGCAAAAAATCGGCAGTTTAGGAAGATCCGTCTCCGCAAGTTGAATACAATTGGCCATCTCGCAGTCGTGATTTAGGACCTCGGTGCACGAATATTCAAGCAGACCACCCGAACTTAAAAGGGTGCCCCTTCATTACCGAACGGGCGTAGAACCTGGACGACACTCTCGCTCAATTGCGCTGCACACTGTGTTAGACAAGCTCATCTTTAGCAAAATTGCGTACAGGGGGAAAAGCAAGCCTTACCCGTAGGAGCCTGGCCCCAATCCAAATTTTCTTGGGCGAAGGGAAGGGCAGCATCAGCCGTCCGATCCCAAACACGGCCACGGCGAAGAAGTGGCACACCAGGCTTAGTGGCCGGGGGTTCAACCTGAGGCAGGAAAATGCAAACTTCAGGGTAGATTCGCACAAAGAGATTGGCCAGGACAAGTCACAGGCAAGGAGATAAAACACGGACAGTAGCCGGCAACAACAAGCTGCAGAAGTAATGGACGAGTGCGAAGAAAGTATTACCAAAAGCTGTAGTACAAGTGAGGCCACATCAGGAATCATGGGCGATATGACCGGATTGCGCGGTTGGGAACGTCGAACCTCTTGACTAAGAAATGCTGGCAGGTTCCACGCTTGAGAACACGGGTCGACTGGAAACAAACAGGCACTTTTGGTTGCTCAGGGGGATCCGCGTACTGCAACCAGCATAAAGTTGCGGAAGCCCTCTCGGTAAGGAAGGGTGCAAAACCAAAACGGGAGACCACAGAGGATCAAGCGAGGTTGGAGCAGGTCTTATCAGAGTCTGCTCCGGAGGCTGCTGGGAAAAGATCAAACACAAACCTGATGCCACGAAGAGCGAGGTAGGCTGACTAACGCACATAATGCACAGAAAGAAATTACCTAAGCCGCTGAAGGAAAGACAATGAGAAGCACCTGCACAATGTCAAAAGCGAACGGGGTGTTAATCAAACCCTAAAACACTCAAGTCCAGAAACCTTGAAACCTGTAACCCTTACCCTGACAGCAAAGCGACCGGCCCTTCCGAGAAGACCCCGCCCAGGCTGAGGTAGTCGAAGCACGCCCGGCGCATCTCTTCCATCGCCTCGTCAGACGACGCGCAGAAGACCTTGTAGAGCGCGCCCGCCAGCGTGTTGATCGTGGCCGCCACCGGCTGCACACACGAAATAGGTTTGCCTAAACCAAAAGCTTGACCAATTTTTCCTCGTCCCTTGTCAAGGTAGTTGCTTATATCTCATCAGTGAAAGTAACTCGACAAACCCGGCGGCACAAACAACGAGCCCTTTCTTCGGTGGGTGGAGACTCTTTGCTTTCCTTTCTTGATGACGACATAGTACAAGAACGATGCAAACGCCAAAGCGCTCCTCGACACGACTACGCTTGAGACGATGGAGGAGGGACGTAGAAAGATTCGATCACACCCACCGGCGTGTTGAGTAGCACCGCGATCGTCAGAAACGCCAAACGTTCGATTGTTTCCCTTCAATTTGCAATGGTTGCAGCGCAGTGGAGAAGTGGACATAAGACAGAAGAATGCTTGGTTATTTCTGTCTTCTCGGCTTTTTCTTAAAGCTTCGACGGCTTCGTGTGACACCAAGGAGACGTCAGGTTTGCGCTCTTCCAGTCCCACCCTTTATCTTGACGCTTATTTGACAGTGGAACAAGTAGTCGTTGCTCGGAGGACAACGTAAAACGGAACAGCAGCTCCCCAGATTTCCACGACCTTTACTGACTGGAGGAAAACAAACGCTCCGGGCTCGCACCTTTCTCCTTGTGTAAAACGCCTTGGTGTAGCTGGACAGCGCTGTGACGTCAGTGAAGTCTGGCAGTGGGCGCAACATGTCCCGAAGCACGGCGATGTCGGAAAGCGCGACCGTCATCCCACCCCCCGTCAGCGGGTGACGCATGTTGAACGCATCTCCAAGCAAGAGAGCTCCAGGCGTCTGCAGAAAGAGGTCTTGAAGTCCATATTACAGATATTGCTGGACCTTGAGGGCGTCTTATTGCAGCTCGATTTGAAAATCTCGGAAAGAGCGACCGTCATCCCGCCCCCTGGCAATGGGGGACGCATATTGAAAGCATCACCCAGCAAGAGAGCTCCGAGCGTCTGCGAAACAGTGGTTTAAAGACCTAATCAAGAAATCTGTGAGTCTTCGGCCTCGTCTTCTCGCAACTCAATTGCGGATAATGTCGGAAAAAGGGATCGTCATTCCGCCTTCGGCAGCGAACGCCGTTTGCAATACTTCACTCAGCAATGGGTCTATGCAGGTCTGCAAGAACGTGAGATGCATCTTGGATGCTTGATTCGCACCGTCTGTTCGGACCCGACACATCCATATATTCGTCCCATCAAAAGACAAGATAGTGAAAAGAGTGTGCCTTGCCAATCAAAACCTGCTCGAGGAGAATAATATCCAGCCCACCTCTCAGCAGACGGCGCTCTTCAAGTACGACGCTCAGAAACAACGAGGGGTCTGCAAAGAGTTGGCCAGAAGTCCATGTCGTCGTTCGGGCTCTGCAAACGGGATCATGCAATAGAAGCCCTGATGTGGCAACGCTCACCGTCATGGGGTTGGCGGCCATGCTCTGGTTCGGCATCTTGCGGATGTCGCCCTTCTCCACCGCCGCCAAGAAAGGCGCCTTCAGCTGCTCTGGAAGCTGCCACGTAGCAAATAAATAGACCAGTCAGCCCGCTGACACAGGTGGCAGACAAGGCAGCTACCTCAAAAGAGAGACTCGGTTGATCAGCCGCCGCTTGGAGTCGGCAACCGTGGGAAAACTCGTCACGAGGACAGTGATATCAAGGACTACGATGCCGATGCAGAAGTGTACCGATTCGAGTACCTAAGACGTCAGCTATTCATAGAGGGAACACTAGCAAGACCTTCGGAGGTAGCAACACTTGCTGGCATATGGGAAAACACTACAAGGCAGATAACTTGTTCACACAGAAGGGCAATTGGATGCTTCTCTCAGTTTCCGTTTCTTATTGGCTTGCAGGACTCCCTCGTATGGCTTCCGAGGAGTTCAACCGGGCGGTCAGCTCGACGACAAAGCAAAGTCCACAGAACAAGGGCACGAAACGTTTCCAGGGGCTTACCTGGGGGGCGACGTGCTGAGAGAGGTACTCAGGCAGCGAGGCGCAGCCGACGGCCTTCACCTGCCCCGTGGGGACGTCCACGAGACACCGCACCTCCGTGCTGCTGATCTGCAACGATGAGCATTTTGACACCGTGTCAGCACGTGAGACCCCGTGAAACCGATCTATGCATCTGAAGTGTCAATAGTGCTGAAACCTTGTGGTAGCCAGATGTGAGTCACACCACGGCGTTATGTTCCCGCAGAAGAAAGAGTTCCTCATTTTCAACCGCACATGGACGAAGCGTAAGCTAATCCCAGACAACGGGATTGCCCTGATGACGGTAGAAGACCATGCATCGGCTCTGAGGCATAAGGGCATGCATCGAATCTTTTCGAAAGAAAAACGCGTGGGCTTTAAGAAGGCGGTAAGCTTTCAGCAGAAACCGACAATGAGCGGTGAAGAAGCTCATCTTCGTGCAATGAGCTCTTGATACAGTCTTCGTCTTGGAAGAAGGTTTCTTGATCAGAGATGAGGAAAGATTTGAAGCTGTCACAAGCAGCTCACGCTCACCGGATAGAAGAGGACTGGAGATGGGTCTCCCAAGACAACGTGCCCATGGTTGGGATACGGCAGGTCGGCCTTTTCCAAGATGAGGCCCACAAAATCGGACGTAGAAGAAGGCTGCAAGGAGACATTGCGCAAAGTCAAGAGAAAATCGATTCAGGGAGCGATGTCATTTGAGTTGTTTGAAGACCTTGAAGGGTGGACACAATTCCGCAATCTGAACCACAGCTTAATTTCAGCTGAATCCTTGAGAAAGCTGCATTAAAATCCGGGGTTCTACAGTAGGCTGGGGGAGGAATCTTTCCCTTCATCAGTGCTGTGCTTAGGTGGAATGAAAATACAAAGAGACCAGTTTCCTGGCATAAGCGAAGCAGAGACTTTCTTCCACAATTGCAAGCAAAGGATACAGACCGCAAAACAAAGCTCGGAGACCGATCTTCGAGGCAAGCAGAGAAATTTTATTGCCTCGTTGGGGCCCTTGAGGATGACACGAAATTTAGAACCTCCATTCACATATTGGTTCATCTTTAGTCGCGGCAGTACGGCACGCAAGGGCTCGAGGCGAAAAAACTCTCGCGAATCCTTGGGTATTTGGAGACCCACCTTCGAAGATGATAGTGACTTCCGTAGTCTGGAAAAGCAGCCGTCGCAGACAATTGTAAGGGGCGCAAAAACCTGGGACGTGCTCTCGCCCGCCTCGCCAACTCGGTACTCGACTCCTTTGACTGTATGGTCGTCCTCGATGAGCTTGCTGACAGTCGCTTGCTTTAGGACCACCCTGTAAGGATTGCAGCGATTCAGAGAAAATGGAATCGTTTTGGTCAGGCTTCCGTTGGCTCCTCGTCTTCATCGGATAGGATCAACTCTATTGTTTGCTGCTCTTAGTTTCTTCTCTTCCTCAGGCGTAAGCCACCAACTGTACGAACGCACTGACCTCTTGATGCTGGATGCGCAATAGAAAACCAAAATCCTAACATCTGCAAGCCTCAAAACTTGGCCCAGACGATTGCTGCCAGTCTGTAAGACTTGTCGGCTAGTTTGGCGAACAACCAAGCCATTGCTTGTCGTCTAGACCAGTACCAAGCAGGAGCAATCTTTCACGACTTCCTCATGCTCCGGACAAACGTCTCCAGCAAGAGAAGGTAGCAGAACGACTGTAAGCAACACTTGGCAAACAATATGAATGTTATGCTGCCAATCCCCATAATTTGAAAGCTGGGCACGTTGACTCAAACCAAAGGGCTGCTGACTTGCACGTCTGCTCGAGACTCGTGTCGCAATCCACATTTAGCAGATCAACAAAGCATATCCAGGTTGGAATGATGCAGGTTTAGCCAGGTTCATGTGGGGTTAGCAGACTCACCCTGGCATTTTGCCAATCTTCTCCCGCATCCGCATCACAAAGCGCCCATTATGGAAGCTGCGCCCCACGACCTTCTTCCCATTCTTGAGGGGGTATGCGACCTTGCACTCCCCCCCGTCCTTGAACATTGCGTAGCCAAAGATCTCGGGAGAATCGATCTCTTCCACACAATCTGTTGGAGTCGAACACAGTGATCAATGATGGAACACGATCAAATGCAGTACCACTGGAACGCATACTGCATCAATGCATAATTGGGACATCTCAACATGAACTGGAAGACGACACCAGCCATTGACAAAGTAGTAGACATAGAAAGAAGCCTCCTTGGGGACATCTTGACACGAACTGGGAGACGAAACCAGCCTTTGACAGAGTAAGTAGACCTAAAAAGAAGCCTCCTTGCAGAAACCAACCAAGTATAGAATAGTGGAAACAGGTTCCGATTGCAATAACGATCACCCTTTCCTGTTTGCAGCATTCCGATCTGCCTTTCTAGACAGGGATGAACACTTTGACCTGCCAACAATTGGGCATACAGACTTTGGGATTACATGAGCTGCCATGAGAAGGCCCAAAACGCAGGACCCCTTGCCTTGGCAGAATCAGTTTCGAGAAGAAAGACTGTTTGATTTTAAACCAATCATCCATTGCTCACATCAACCTCAACATAAGTATCTTGCTAACGTCAAGGTCTAAATCTACTCAATTAAGGGTTGATAACAAACTCAATGACTGACCTTTGCAGGACGTTGCAACTCACAGTTACCAGGAGCTGTTTGTCTCGAAATTGAACAAAGAACTGCGTCGCTCAGACAAAAGGAGCGAGAGCACCAACCTTCCAACCCCAGATCAACCAGCTTCAAGAAGCCCCCCGGTTGCAGCAACTCCCCAACTATGCGGTCTGGCTCAGTGAGGTCCCTTTCAAGCACAAGAACCTTCCGGCCTTCCTGCAAGAAGGACACAGACGAACAAGAAGCTGTATTGGAAGTAGTGGTGGTGATATATTCAACTGCGATCCGAATGCATAAGCCTCTTGAGAACATGAACAAACAGTGAAGGAAGAGTTAGGCAGTCAGGAGCGAAGAGACGCAGTGTCAATCCACCTACACAACAACAGAAAACATTCTGTGTGTTGTAATCTTTGAGGAGATGCAACCAGTTCTGTTCGACGGCTTGTAAATGATGCCCTCATTGCCCTCAATGTATGAGACAACAGGCACCGCTGCTTAGAGATGTGCAATATTGAGTGGTGGCAAAAATGTGCACGCAGAAATGTCTTTATTAAATCTTACAGCAATGTAGTTCTGCGTATGCATAGAGCGGCAAACTTGGTGGTACTCTGGTAAAGTTCGAATCTGCCGCTCCAATGGACACTCCTCTTCAAGCAGTGCACGCCTACCTACCCTTGGGCTGAGGCCCCCATAAAGTATCCACCCATCACCCAGAATGATGGTCAACACCCGAATACTGTCTAGCACATGCAACCAGACGTTTATGAGAATCTTTTGCAGAGTTTGTTACTGTATCTCCATTTTCTGGTTTTGCTAGAAGGTCAATATAACAAAGAAGAGTGGTGAGATCTCATAGCTACCCTGCAATTCATTTCTCCATTGAGACAATCAGAGAAACACAAACACCTTTGGGCCTTGCTTAGCGCACTGCTCTGGTTTAACTCGGCATATATGCATGTAGGGCAGAGTTCAAAATAAGTCTATTTTCTACAAGACGTAAGAGAATTCTTTAATCGCCAAAGATTGCCACCACATTTGATCAAAAAACTGGTGTAAGTGAAAGCGACTCATTGGCATATGCGCCTTTCATTTTCTGCATGTTGCAGAAATGCACCACCAACTTTTTGTACTTACAGTTTGAAGTACGATCCATCCAAAAGAGCGGATGGATGTAGAGGTTGAACATGAGTGTCCGTAAAACAATAGATGAAATTAAGAAAGACAGCTCACCTTTCCCAGCGAGTATGCAAGCGCCGCACCCGCCACCCCAGCCCCAACAATGATCACATCGGGATTGCTCTCTACTTCTTTTGCATATGTCAGCTCTCCTTTGATACTTGGAGATCGGGCGTCGATTGCTTTCCTCCTCGCTTCTTCTGCATCTTGTCTCCTCAAGTCTGAAAGGCGCCGGTTCTCTGTCCACAGCATAAAAACTCCCACAACTGCGGAGGCCACGGAGATGAGCAGTCCCAGAAGGAAACCGGTGTCCAGTTCATGGCCCCAGAACTGCATCCTGTCTGCTCAGATCTTCTTTTCAACACTGATGGTCTGCTGACAAATGCACAATCAGCGCCAGTCAGAGATGAAGCTCTCCAAGGAACCAACCACCAAAACAGGAAGTTCCCCTTTTTTAGTGCAAAGCTTTAGGACGTGTCTGCAAAGTGTTGATAGATCTTTCAATTTGATGCATTGGCGACTCCCTCAGATACCTCTTTCACTTGTGAAATAACGAAGGTAGAGGAATAAGTCGGCCAGCTTGTAAACCTGCGTCCTGATGTGCTTAGGCGCCCGTCTCCCCGACAGCCAGTCCCTGCGCTGTCTGCTGGATCTTTGCTTCACGGATTGCGACGCCATGAAACCAGCAGTGGCAGCACCAGAGCGAGCTGCGATCTGCTGTCTCAGGCGCTGCCACGTCTGCATGGAGCAGGCCTATTAGGGTTTCAAGTGCTGGTATTAGAATTTGCAGATTTGCATCTTAGGGTTTTAGGGTTTGAAGGAAGAGCCTTGCCTGGGGCTACGAGGAGATCTGCCAAGGAGGTGCTCTTGATGGCCGGCTTCTGCGAGGTTTGAACAGTATCACGGTGGCTCTCATCAAGGGGGATACGAACAGGATTATGCAGTGGTGCAACTGAAGTCTGATGCATTGTGGCGTTCCATTGGAGTTTTAGCGTTGAACCGGGGTCCGGATTGGTGCCTTTCACTCTCGGCAATCAGACGGTATCATGGCCTGGTCGCATCGCATTGAGCGGGGCGTTCGAGAGCACGCCCGAGGCCAAGCCTACTTTCTGGTCGTGCTGCTTGTCTTGGATGCCTTTGTGGGGCCAATCTGCGGACAGCTTTCTGATCCGATCGCTCACGACGACAATCTGGCAAACAGTGCACAAAACAAGTTCTTGCAGCGGGAGGCGAGCAAGGATGGATCGGCACCTGCTTCTCAGTGAGTGGAGAATCAAGCATGCCAATTTCGACCCGATTCATCGAGAGAATGCTGCGGAAGCTTATGATTGTCAAACAGGTTCTGGTGATGGAGTGCATCTTCTCTAACGTTGCACGTGCTGTGTGACCTCACTTATAGTCTCATCAGTCAGTATGTTGGCACTTGGCAATACTTTGGTTCATTTAAGCAGCTAGTGCAGAATGAACCTAGAAAAACGGTCGACGGTAGGAGCTCATTTTCGGGATGATATGGTTATTGTTTCAAATCCTTTTGAGGAGCCATTAAATGGTGGTGTGCAAGAAGGATGAAGCAGTTAGGCCCTCCCTTTGTAATGTCGACAGGTTCCTTATTTTAAGAACCTCCTTGGTACATGGTTCTGCTTTTTAAAATTCTGCATTCCCACTTCAAACGAACGGGCCTTCGAGACTAATCCTTCTTGGAATAGTTGGGCCCGTAGGCTTTCAAGCTGACAGTCCTTGCAGAGCTCTATACTTATGCCTTCGTAATCTGAAAAAACCCCCCCCGGGGTTTGCTCGATGTACACAGTTGTTTGGCATGCCCTCATTCTGGATCAATGGCCTGATGTTTGTGGAGTCACAACGGGGACATTCCTGACAGATCTTCAGATTTCGTTCGACTAGTGCGTGAGCTGCTCAGGGCACCTTCGGAAAGAGGAAAATCGTAACGAGTGCGGGAGCAACGTGTTACAGAGACGTTCTTTTTCGCCCTATTGCTTGCAGGGATGAGGAGCCCTCGGCTGGCAACACGCAGTGCCCCAAAAACGTGGAGCTGCGGTGGATGTCGGAAGTTAGCGCCAGCATCTACTCCACGCCTCTAGTTGCAGACATCAACAGGTGGGGCCCAATGCAATCTTCAAGTTGCTCCGGGCAATCTACATCTTTCACAGCGTGTGGGTTGTGTTTCTATACGTGCAGGTTGCATCTTGTCTCTTTGGCCCGGACGAGTCAAGCCCCAAATCTGACTTTTCATCGGACCAGCACCTTGTCATTTGGCCCTTTGTGTTCCTGTCAAGTGTGCAGTGTGTAATACTCTTTTACCTCCAACTGTGCACTTTCCCAGTTGAACAGTTCCACCGGTGTTCTACATGAATCTCTGTACCAGTCCAGCGCACTCCGGAGCATCACTACCTCCTGAAGGAAAAAAATTCTGGCTGTAAAGTACAGGAATCAAAGTGGAGCAGCACATGCCGCGGAAAACAATCCGCAACAACATGTCTTTGGTGCTTATTGCATAGGCTTCTCGTGCATTTGCAGTGACGGCAGGTCCGAGGTGATTGTGCCCTCTTTCATCCACTACCTGGACGTCTTGGAGGGCACCGACGGAGAGAAGCTGCCAGGTCAGGTTCAACGTGCTTTCTCATGCATCACGAGTGGAACGACTCACCGTAATCCAACGTTATGATTCAAAAAACTAATCAATAATCTGCGTTTAGAAAGCTAGATGTTTCGCTTTTGTGTTCCGGCAGATCCAGAAGGGCTAATGTAATCAGAATGGGCCATTGGAAAGGGGAAAGAAGTCCAGCCAAGGTTAGCCTCAAAACTGCTTTTCAGGTGAAAACATAAGGCAGTCGGATTTGGATCGGAAACAGCATAGACAATTCCCTTTCACCTGTCGGATTTGAAGATGATCTCGTAAAGAATCGTTCCGAGTTACACGTCGGGAGTACGGTATCAGCGCCTGGTCAGGGACATGATACCAATGGTTTCTCTGTGCCGACCATGTAGGTCACTGCTTTCAGCAATGGTTATAACAGTCAGCTTTTCTAGATCACGTTTAGCCAAGAGAAGGCTTTTCGATACGCCTCGTACTTTGCCCTTCCAGAAGTTGCTACTCGGAAGTGAGCGTATCTGCAGATCTGGTCCCTTTTTATTGTGGCATTCTCGTTGCGCATGGCAAGGCCTTTCAACGATGCCCCCCCTTGCTGACTTTTCAACACGACGCAGCCCTTTTCTGTCCACCTTGCAATCAGACACAGCCTTGTTGTGGATAGAAAAATGGAGAATCTCACATGCTAAAATGTGAGTTCCCCTCTACGCAGGCTGGCCGGCCTTCCACAAGTCTAGCGTCCACAGCAGCCCCTTTCTGTACGATGTGGATAAGGACGGCGTCAGAGAGGTTGGGTTGGCCACCTACAACGGCGAGATCCTATTCTTCAGGTGAACTGCAAAAATATGGGAATGCAGAAACTGCGTTCGAAATATTCTTGCAAGATTTGTAGTCCTTGTGTAGCACTATCAGTCGTCCAGGATGTTTGGGAAGTTTTTGCTGTTCGTTTCCAAAGGGCTGGGGTTGTGTCCTGAAAAAAGAGGCTTCAGCTCGGGAATATGTTCCACTCTCCTCAAGCATAACCATTGATTCAAAGAGTTTGTTTGCAGCCTGTTCGCGCAATCTTGAACGAGTCCTTGCATTGGAAAATGTGGCCTCATTGAGTTCTGCGGCTTGTGTTTTGCGCTTGGAAAGACACTGCCACTGCTTAATTGTTGCCTTCGTATCCGTTCTGCTTGCGTCCTTCTCCTCCATCTACTCCTGATCCATTGCTACCCGATCAACATGTTAAGCGATCAGAGACTTTGCGACCTGTCCGGTTTCGCCGCCTCAAGCCCTTCGATCATGTTTTAATTCTGGCCTGTCCCTTTGGCTGTCCACTCTAGACTTCCGCTTCCAACACATCTGCCATACAAAGCTTACATTTCGACACCTCCGGAAGCGAACCATCTGCGTCGTCCGCCAACGTCCTTTGAACATGACGTTCATTGGTGCCCGCGCTGTCATCATCATGTGCCAAATTGGAAGTTGATACCGTTGAGTTGCTCGTCTCCCACAGGCCAAGCGGTGAGCTTCTACCAAGCAAGCTAGTGGTCCCCCGCCTCAAAGTCCACAAAGACTGGTACGTCGGCCTCGACCCAGACCCGGTAGACCACAGCAAACCAGACGTCGGCGACCAAGATTTGACCATCCAATCTCCTTCCACAATCGACGGCGACGAAGAGGCCGATCACGCACATGCGGCGGAGCACGCGGTGAAGCCTAGGGGGCCTGGGGAAGAAAGCGGCAGCAGCGGGGGGGAAGATGACGGCGCGGGGGCGCTACACGTTGCGGGGGGGTTCTTGATCCAGGGAAGGGACGGGGGGGAAGAGGGGGAGGGAGGGGCTGCTGAGGTGGGTACCGAAACGGGGGTAAACGAAGGGGTGGAAACGAAAGAGACGGGAAAAGAAAATGGAGAAGGAGGGGGGGGTGCCGCAGAGGAAAAGAAGGTTCCGGAGGGAGACAGCAATACGGGGGACGGCGACGAGGTCGAAACCGGGCTGGCGAACCGGTTGGGAGAGGCGGGCGCGGCAGCGGATGCGCGGGTGTTGGAAGGGGAAGTGGCTTCCGAGGGGGGAGCGATTTCTGGCGGTGACGCCGCACCGGGGGGGACTGTTGCGCCGTGCGACGACGATGGGTGCCCGGCGACCGGGCACGTGCAGACCCCCGAAACGGAGAAGACGGGTGAGGGTACTGCGGAGACGGGGCAAACGGCAGAGGGTACTGCGAAGGAAGGGGAAGCTGGGGGCGTGGCGGCGGCTGTTACTCAGAGGCGAAGGCTGCTTTGGTCTAACGAGGGGGTGTCGAACAGCGAGGAAAGTGAAAGTGGGGGGGAGGACGGAAATTTGCATGGCGGTGCGCTCAAAGCGGACCTACTCAACGAGGGGTTAAAGGTAACCCGGCGGCGGTTATTGGCCGAGGACCAAACCCAGGGGGTCGCGACGGCGGAAACGGAGGGAAAACTGGACCCCGAAGCGGCGGAAACGTTTAACATCTTTGATAAGGATGGCGGCGCAGACACGCAGGACGATCCTGAGTGGGACTTTGACGACTTTGACTTTGAGCATGCGGAGGAGATGTGGGCGGACGAGGAGTGGCGGGAAGGCGCACGCGAGATGGAGAAGGACTTTGTGTTTGTGGACGCACACATTCTGTGCTCGCCGGTAAGTGGCGGCGAAATTGGGCACTACTTCTACCAAGGTTTTGGGGATGACGATTGCGTTTCTGGGACGAGTGACAAAGTTGGAATGCTGAGACTGGTGAGAAGGCGCACCCGCGGTAGAAAGGACTCTGTGTGTGTGCACACAATCAATGCTCGCCTCTTAAGAGACGGGAGCCTTTGGAAGCATGCAGCTGCCTGCAGGTTTGGGGATGAAAATGTGCTGTCACAGATAGCACATGTTTCACAAGTGCTGAGGATTGGCGGCAACGCTAGGGAGAATTTTGTACTTGTGCATGCGCACAGTCTGCGTTCCCCCTTGAGCAGCGGAGAGTGGAACTTGAGTTGGGCAATGGGCAAGGCGAAGAGGCCGTCCAAGCGCCTTTTCTCTTGACGGAAGTTTCACCAAGAAAAATAGAGTAGAAGAATCCTCTGCTTTTGAAACCAGAGTGGGTTAACTCTTGGCCTCTTCACAGCAGGTGGTCGCCGACATTGACAGCGATGGAGGCGGCGAGTTAGTTGTCACGGCTGCCATTCTTTGAACGAACTCTTGCAAGCGAAACTACACTGGACTGAAGGAAGTCAAGAACCCAGGTCGGGCGATCCCACTTCTTCACATTAAAAACGGAAAATATAACGGGCGTAAGCTCTACTTCTTTACACCAACAACGAAAACTAGAGTGGTAATATTTTTGCTTCTTCTCACCAGGTGGTTGCGGACATTGATAGCGATGGGCGCGACGAGCTCGTTGTTGCGGCGTCGTACTTTTTCGACGTGGAGTATTACGAGGACCCTGCGCATGCCAAGGAGTTGCCGGAGGGCATCGACTTGCACAAGTACATTGCGGGCGGGATCGTTGCGTTCGACCTTGTTGTAAGTGTGGGCTTTTGGCATTTGTTGCTTCAGGCTTCGAGTTGTGGGTTCCAGTAACTATCAATGTTGACTCTTCCGAGAACATCACCTGAGATATCGTGGGTTTCAGGAAGAAGCCTGACGACTACAGTGTTCAGGTCTCCCTCCTTATCGACAAGCTCTTCTTTGAAAAAGATTCGCAAGAATCGCTGAAGGCAGTCAGAATGCACATTGTCATGCATTAACTGTAGATAGGTTCGTCCCGTCTGACCTATACTCAAGTCCTCAACGAGAAGGATTTGGGATCCGTAGTCCCTAACGTCACTTGGGATATTAGAGGACGGCTTTCCGGTAGCCTGTCGCCAACAATCAATACTAGCGTCTGGGCCCGATGACTTAAGCCTGGCCTGCTTTAAAAGGCCCAGTGATGACGTCACGTAGACGCCCTCTTCAAGCCTTTCTCTCAACATCTCTAGGACATGCGCGTCAAGGTGAACTTGGACCCGTCCTTGGCGTCCAGTGATGACTAGAGTCGGATCATGCCAAATTCAGTTCGATTGATTCCTAGACCCCAAAACAGAGTCTGAGACCATACTTCCCAGTCTTCAATCCCTTGAGTCAAGCCCGTAACTCCGGTCTCTAACCCCAGTTTCTCCATCATCTGCAGGACATGCGCGTCAAGTGGAGCGTCCACCTAGATTTGTCCACCGATGCAACCCAATACCGAGCCTACATCTACTCTCACCCCACGGTTGTCGACCTGGATCGAGACGGCTACATGGAGATCCTAGTGGGCACCAGCGAGGGCTTCCTTTACTGCCTAAGCCACGTCGGTAAGTGCTCGGTTCTGCTGAGGTTGAAAATATCAGTCGAGCGCTCCGTAACCAAACGCTGCTCTTGTTTGATTGGGCTACTTGTCGGGGGTCCGCAGACGAAGAGCATTTGGTTGCAATGGCGATATCTAGGCTACTTGGAAGTCCCCAACACCCGCTTACACGGGTTCCCAGCCCAGGATGCCGCACAGAAACAAAGAATACCAGATTGATGCGAAAACTATCCCAGTATCCGCTTCATATAGCTACCCGCGGAAGGACTTTCCAATGAAATGTGCGCGAGATCCAGGGTGGCTTAGTGATTTCCCAACACACGCAAACACGGGTTCCAGAGCTGAACCTAGATAAGAAACGAGATGACCGGTCTGTAAGTTTTGAACGTCCCTGTCTTCTGCTATTTCCAGGCTATCCCCAAAAGAAATCTAAAGTCCCGACTCAGGAATCTCCGAGCAACGCTGTCACGATTCTCATATCAAGAAGCTAGGCCAAAAAAAACAAGATAGGTTACAAGGCTATCTGACACTGACTGGAATCTGCCCACCGTTTGCTTGTTCAAGCTACTCCTGAGAGAACTTTCTAATCCACGTGGGCGAGATCCAGGGTCAACTGAGGATCCCAAAGCCAGAACACTAGGAGCAGAACTAAAAAAACGCAGAGCAACTCTAATTGAGTTCACTGAAAGTACAGCGCCCATCTTCTGCTTTTTCAGGCTACCCCCGGGAGAACTTCCCGATCCAAATGGCGAGATCAAGGCGTTGATTTGGGATCCCTGAGCCAGAACGCGAGCACAATTAAAATGCAAATGCCAAGGTCATTGAGTTCACTGAAGCGAAGTGCCCATCTTCCGTTTTTTCAGGCTACCCCCGGGAGAACTTCCCGATTCAGATGGGCGAGATTCAGGGTCAGGTGGTCGCAGCAGACATCAACGGCGACGGGTTCTTAGAGATCGTTGGAGTGGACACCCGGGGCAACGTGGCGGCCTTTGATTGGCGGGGCCGGGAGCTGTGGGAGCGCCACGTGGCATCCATGATCTCGCAGGCGAGTTGGTTGGCGATGCTCCTTCACTCTGATTCTGCTGCATGCGAGCTGTCTAGCTTTTGTACCGAGCCCAATGCGGAAACCGGTAGTCAGCCTTTGTAAGGGGGGGGGAAACCGAGGAAAAGGTGGACTTTTACTGGTGCGAGGCCCCAATCGCCGGCCGTTTCTACATCTCGAGGACTCCTCGTCCCAGATAATTTCCACCCGTTGACGGCGAGTTGCTTGGTTTCTTGACTCTGCGCTTTCAGGCAGTCCCTTATATCGGCAGGGACGAAAGACCGACCCTGATGAAGGTGTCACCCATCTAGTTGTTCCAGTTCTTCAGCGAGACGAGCCATCAATCAAGTCATCTGTTACAAAGGAATAGCCTTCATTTCCAGATCAAAGTTTCTCAAAGCTCTTCCAGTTCTCGTTAGGTCGCGCTTCTTGCAAGGCGTGTCGTTTGGCCGCTCGTGGTCACTGTACGCGTCACGGCCGCGCCGTCACATTGTGCTCATTTGTTCAGGTTCTCATATTAGGAATGTTGAAGCTCTTGTCCCAATACGCAGAACGCCGGACCGTCATTTGGCAAAGCATGTGTGAATTGTATCCCCCATCGGCTGAGTTGTCGGAGTGCTTCCAGTTGGCCCCACATTAGGCTGCAGTTATTGATTTGTACTGGCCACGTTTCCCGGGCACTCTTTGTCATATCGACGGATCAAGTCGATCTTGACACATGTGGGGCAAGATCGATCGGCTGCGGGAAATAGATGGATGTGTTTGGAGGTCGAAAGTTTCGCATGCGAGGAATGAGAGTCTGTCTTGGTTGGAAAACCAAGGCCCGGCGACAATGAAAGGAACGGCCATTCTAAGGTCGTTTTAAGCAACGACGATCGAGCACGTGTACGCTGTTCTTGGCTTCACAATGCGCGCCTTCTATCCCAGATCTGCCCACCCCGCATTGCGGTGTCTCCCTGAACCCCTGAAAGTCAATATTACGTGGCCGAGGTCGTTTTTGGCACGACGTCCGACCGCATGTACGCGATTCGCAGCAATACAATCTCTTGCAAACTGAGTCCAAACCTGGATTCGAAAGTCCCTGACATTGAAACATCAGTTTCTCGTTTTCTCTTCAGGGCGTATCGGTCGGCGATGTTGACGGCGACGGCCACGCCGAGGTCGTCTTCGGCACGACGTCCGGCCACGTGTATGCGGTCCGCGGCGACACCGGCCTCGACGTCGCGCCGTTCCCGTTCCGCACGCACGGCCGCGTGATGGCTCCCGTCCTGCTGGTCAACCTCAAGCGCTCGCGGCCGCGGGGCGCCGGGCTGGACCTCGTGGTGACGTCATTCGACGGGTTCGTGTACATGATCGAGGGCGAGACCGGGTGCGCTGACGTCATCGACGTCGGGGAGACGGCGTATAGCATGGTGCTCGCGGAGAACGTGCACGGGGGGCCGGAGATGGACCTGCTGGTGGCGACCATGAATGGGAACGTGTACTGCTTCCAGACAGAGGTCCTCTTTCATCCTCTCAAGGTGAATTGATCTCTTGGATGTGTTCGGAGTTTGATTGCTCAACTTTTCGGCAGTATATTGGTTCGTATCTTCTACAGACTTCGTGTAAGAGAAGAGAAATGTTTTTGAAGACGGTGAATGGGAACGTGGACTGCTTCCAGACGGAGGTCCTCTATCATTTGCTTAAGGGGCGGTGATCACACAGATTTCCTAAGTTTCCAATTCTGTAGCCTCTTGGTGAGTTGTCCTTGAGTCATTGTTGTCAACAGTGAATCTGGAAGAGAGTGACTTCTTTGCGTACCCGATGAACGGGATCGCTTACTGCTTACAGAGGGAGGTTCCTCACTGCCCCCTCAGAAAGAAGCCTGAAGGGGGATCTGGTAATACCCCTTTCAGGCTTTTTCAGGGATCTGGTAATACCCCTTTCAGGCTTCTTCCTGAGTTTCGTTCCTAGGGCTTTGGTCCTGCGATCACTTGTGTGAATGTGGCCCCCAAAAATGTTCCTGCTGGTGGCATTGATAAACTCAAGCGTTAACCTGCTTCTAAACGGGCAGTCCCATAAGGTGCGTCGATTACTGCAACACTAATGAGACGTTTTGGCGCGGATATGAATGCCAGTCGGTACCAAAGCACTTTTCTGAGAGCCCAGATTTATTTTTGATCTGTTGCAGGCATGGCCCGCCCAAAACCACCACCGTAACGCAGCCTTTCCCCGGCAAACCAAGGGCGTATCCGCACTGCCATCTTCGCGGCAACTCCGGGACATGGGCGGGGAAAGCTTCCCCGTGCAATTTGAGGTGCTCGATCTGGGGCCAATGGGGACCAATTACACTGTCACGGTGAGGCTGCTACGAGAAAGTATTGGGCCTTGTTCCTTCTGAGCTTGTCGGCATTTGTGCGTTTTAGGGCTTCTGCTACATTACAAACGGTTTCAACGCTGTTCGTTGGACGGCCGGTTTTTTGGAGTCTTTGCCAGGTAGCGGCGTTACCACGTTTCGCCATGCGGAGCAAAACACAAGGAATGAAAGGGATTGAAAGCGACCTCCCAAGTGCAGGGAGGTTAAGTGGTGTGCAGCCGAAGAATCCGTGTGTGCTTGCCACGATAAGGGCACAATTGGTCAGAATAACGCGGGGTACAATTGTTGATTCTGCATCATCTCCGACATCGGCAGTCCCATGACCACGTGGCACCATCCAGACGGTACCTGTTACTGCAATGACGTCAAGTTGATCTTTTAGGAATTCAGAGGTGGCACACCATTCCCGCATCTCCACCCTGCTGACGTCCCACACTAACCTTGTTTTGGTGTACCCTTTCTACAGGTCTCTTTAATGGCCCCCGGTCACAAAACGCACCAAGTTCGACAAACCTACTCCATGCCCGGGGTATACACCGTCCGGCTTCCCGTCCCCCCCGTTCGCACGCACGCCCACGTCGTTCTGGAAATGGAGGACGAACACAAGCTTTACTACAGCGACGAGTTTGCGGTGCTTTTCAACATGTACTTCTACCGGATTATTAAGTGGGTTCTAGTCCTGCCGCTGTTAGGGGCGGCCGTAGCGATCATGTCGACCAAGCAGGGGTCGCAGGATCGAGGGGCGCCGCTGCCCACTTCGCTTAATATGCACCGGTTGTGAGGCCTTTCGGCATAAAGGTATCAAGCCGAGTCGAACTCCGGCCCTTGTCGTAAAATGTAAGCGTTCGTCTTACCATCCCGCTCGCACTTGAAGGCATCCGTGCGGGGAAAGGCAAAGCGCCTTATCCCCCGACGGGCAGTTGAAGTCGACCCATCTCCACTAATTACCCCATCCGATGATCAATATGTTCATCTGGATATGACAATGTGCTTTTCTTCAAGAGCTTGCAGCTCTTACCTTTGGCCGGCGGTGCCCGGCACGATTGCGTATGTACGTTTTAGATTCTGGATCATCGAATGCCAGTGGTTCATCGCTGCGCGGCTGCGGTGTGCATGGATATGATTGCTGCTGACATTATGCACGTATAATGGCTCTCCGAGTCAGATTGCTGCTGCACACTGAGTCACCCTTTACCGTACTTGAATTGACGTGAACGGATTCGCACCGAGAACCCACTGGCATGCATGCCGTGTGATGCATGCAATATATCATTATAAGATCTAAGCCCGGCTTGAATGCGGGCTGGCAGAACTCGTGAATCACTGGACCCGGCGCACTAATCGCTGCATGCTGTGTGAACATGCTCAACGGTTAATACATGTAGGTATGTACGCGCATATATGGATACATATGCAATTCGCGGGTAAGTTAAACGCGTTTGTGTGATAATAGTCATGGTATCAATCATATGGACTGGCCAGACTCTATCTACAACAAATGATCGGGTTGTCTTAATTGCAAAGTTACGCCATGTGCAACCAAACCCGACACAGACGGTCATGGGCCACCCGGTGACAGGCTTCATGGGAAATTTTGTTTAAGACTCTAATTAATTCACAAGAGGCCGGCTACGTACGTACGGTTAGTCCATCCGATCATGCAAATGATATTAGTTCGAATGGCAGAGCCGCACGCACTCTCACTATTCGCGGTTTCCAGATTAGCAAGAATCAGCGTTGGTGTCACTGTCTTAAGTACAGGTCAGACGCTTGTTCCAAGCGTCTTCCAATTAAGCTTCATTCATTATAATCATATACAACAATTCTGATCATGTGATGTCTGTTGGGGGATGAGTGATCCAATCATATTCACTTGAACTTGAAAAGTGATCACAATGCGCGCCATGAATCAAAGTTGACGTACGCACCCACTGATGCCCCGGCACCCACATCCGCGCCTTGGATCGACGCAACCCTCGACGTACCGTCAAATCTTTCTGACTTAAGTGGTGTCCCGCACGCTTTGAAAACACATCCTCGCGCCCGCGCCCACCCGGCCCCCGCCTCTATGTAGGGCGGCACGGCCGTTCCTCGACCAACTCCGTCAGCTTAAGCTACTGCTGCGCTCTTTCCTGCACCCTCGATCAGCCTCCCGCTTCTAGTTTGTCGCTCGCGCGCGCGCCCGCCTGTAGCGCCGCCTGGTCTTCGACCAACTCTGTCAGCTTAAGCTACTGCTGCGCTCTTCCCTGCGCCCTCCGCGGCCGCGCCTCCCGCCTCTAGTTCCTCGCTCTCGCGCGCGCCCGCCTGCAGCGCCGCTTGCCTGGTCTTCCATAAAATACGTAAGCTTAAGCTATTGCTGCGCTTTTCCCCGCGCCCCCCGCTTCTAGTTTCTCGCTCGCGCGCGCGCCCGCCTGTAGCGCCGCCTGGTCTTCCACCAACTCCGTCAGCTTACGTGTCCACAGCTCAAACAACTCCTTGTCTTTGGGCGCCTCGAGGGTCATGTCACCGTCCGGGGTTTTGATGATGATGTGCGCGCGCTCCTCTTCGTCCTTCGCCTCTTCGACACGTGGCGTCGTCAGGACCTGGATCCTGTGCTTGCGCGGGATGAAGCCCGACCTCCAGCAGAGCCACACCTGTGGGAGTTCGCAGGAGGAAACGGCCCTAAAGTTGATATCGAAAAATGCTTGGGTGCGCACAAGCCAATACTTGAACATTACAAAAAACAATCTTTGAGATGCATACGACTTGCGAGGTGAGGCGCGGGAGGTCCAAACAGACTCTTTGTTAATACTGGAAGGACCGCCTTGAATGTTCTTAGCGCAAATGAGATGCTCGTCTCAACCGAAGATAATTATTGAATGCTTGATGGAGTCAACGTACTCGGAGAAAGAGCATTTGCGTTGAGCTCATGCTCGAGCATGAGCTCAAAGTTAAAAGTTGGTCCACCTCTCAGATTATTTCATCGAAGTCGTACTGCAGCTGCATTGCTCCGCCCTTCCCTTTTTGCATGCCAGCGAACGAAAGCGTCAAAAAGGAAATCAAACTGTCGGCACATTCTGCCACCATTCTGCACGAAAAAGACAACGAGCGTCTCCCCCAAAACCAAATCCTTACAGTCTTTGTCGACGCCCGCAAAAAAGACAAGTTGCTGCCAAACAGGGGACCGATGAACCGAAACACAAGGCAGGTCAGCAACCTCTTTCAATCTACTCCAAATAGAACGGACCTAGAAATTCAAAAGAGTGATCCCCTCACGAGAGATCGATGCTCAATCAAAACTTAGTGACACCTGGAGTTGTCCCCTACCTGATGCTCCAACAAAGTAGAACTGCTTGTGACCGGGCTTTCCATGCTCGTCAATTGCTGACAGGTGTCTATGCGTCCACCTCAATTACAATAAAAGCAAAGTTGTCTGCTCCAAGTAAACCCGGAGAATGACAAAACAACCAACTCTCAAAGGATCAGCAGACAATGTAAGGCGGAGTACCCCCCACCTGATGCTCCTCGTCCGCCTCGACAAAGTAGAACTGCTTTTGACCGAGCTTTCCATCTTCGTCAATTGCTCGCAAGTGCCTACGCGCCCGCCTCAATAAGAAAAGAATGAAGGTCCTCTGCTTTAAGAAAATAAACCCGGAGAATGAGAGAAGAATCAACCCAGAAAGGCCGAACAGATAATGGATGGTGGAGTACCCCCCACGTCCGCCTCGACAAAGTAGAACTGCTTATGACCGGGCTTAACGTCTTCGTCAATTGCTCAGTAGTGTCTATGCGTCCAACTCAATAAGGATGAAATCAAAGGTTGTTTGTTCCAACGAAGTGAACTCGAGAATGAGAAAACAACCAACTCACAAAGGATCAGCAGAAAATGTGAGGTGGAGTACCCCCCACCTGATGCTCCTCATCGGCCTCGATAAAGTAGAACTGCTTGTGACCTAGCTACTTCCCATCTTCGTCAATTGCTCGCCAGTGTCTATGCGTCTACTCTCAATAGTTAAAGATCCAGGTTGTCTGCTCCAACGAAGTGAACTCGAGAATGAGTTAATCAATTGACTCAGAAAGGCTCTAGCAGATAGTGAAAGGTGGAGTACCCCCCACCTGATGCTCCTCGTCCGCCTCAACAAAGTAGAACTGCTTGTGACCGGGTTTCCCATCTTCGTTGATGATTCGCAGGGGGCTGCCCGTGCCAAGCGCTTTCAGGTGCGCCTCTCGGACTTTGGTCGCGATCAGACGACCCCCTCGGATGAAGATGAAGGGAAGAACCATATTCGCCTGGAAAATGACGACAACTAGAGGTGGTCAAGGGAATAAGAGGGGGTTTAACGAGGGGGTGACCTGTACCAAGCGCCTTCAGGTGCGCCTCCGCGGACCTTGCGATCAGTTGACCTCCCCGGATAAAGATGAAAGGAAGAACCATCTCGGCCTGGAGGTGACAGTACTGGATAGAGGTCAGGCATCGAGGGGGAGGAAGTAAAAAAAAGGGCAACTCAGGGGGCTGCCGGTGCCTAGGGCTTTTAGGCGCGCTTCTTAAACTTTGGTGGCGATCAGCAGACCCCCCGGATAAAAGTGAGACGAAGTGCGATGTGAGACGAAGTGCGATTTTTGCCTGAAGACTGACAGTTAATAGAGCTCAGGCATTCAGGGGGATGACAAAGCAAATCAGGGGGGCGCCGGTGCATTCAAGGTGCGCCTCTCAGACTCCTGTGGGCCCCAGTCTTACCCCCCGTCTAGGGGTTAGTGAGAGCACCATGTTAGCCTGTTTCACAAATGATACATTATCCGGAACAATAACGAGATACAGTACTGCCTCCTTCAGAATTTCTCAAGAACTGTACTTTCTCAGGTGCTCCCTACCCATAAGCCCCATAAACATTGGAAGCGCCAAGCAGGCAAATCAGAGGTTTTAAGTTTACCGGGCCTACCGGCCGTCTCATAATCGCCGCAGCCCTGCAGCTGAGACTTCAAAAGTGAAGATCGAAAAATGAGACTTCAGAAGAGAGATCAAAGAATTAACGAAATCCGATCGCCCCTTGCAAGAGGGGCATTGTCCAATGCTTCAATACATGAAGAGAGCACAATGCTGTTGATATTGAGAAAGTCCGTCCATGGGACTCCGGCAGCATGAAAGGAGGTTTTGGCGTCATGCTCTTTTTGAAATGGAGAGTCACTCAGTTTATAGGGGTAGGAAACTGCTGCAGTCTTCATAAAATGGGGCACAACCAGCTCATCAATGGAACAAAGAAGTAGCCAGCTTTTGCAGATATTTGTGCACAGCAGTAGGCAAAGACAGTCCAGCAAATCAAAGTTTGAGTTCGATTGAGCTGGCACCATCTCTTTTCAGGTCGAAAGTGACTGATTGTAAGCACAGTTGGCAGGCTGCTATCTTCCAATACGATCACACCGGCGAGGCCCCATGTGTTATGCTCAAAGAAATGGAGATTGATGCAGGTACTTTCTGGCGCTGTCTAAAAGCATTGCGTTAGCTTACGTTCTAAAGCCTGAACATCTGCAGGTGTGTAGCAGTTGAATGCATTTATCTGAGCAGACGAGCTAGCATACAAGAAATTGAGGTTGCTAATGCAATGTAGCAACTGAACTGTTGATGTAGAAACAAAAAATCCCAGCAGGAATTCATATAAGTCGGCAAGCTTCGCGAAGTTTCTGTGCGGTGGTGCATTGCTCACCTGCTAGCGTCCGCGGAGGGCGGTCCTTCGCGTGTGCTGCCTCCGACTCTGGAATTGCTCCAAACCACCCAGGATTATGTTTCCCCACGATCAAGCACATTCAACGTCATCCACCCCAAGAATGCAGGGACGACCAGGAAAGCAACAAGCAACTCTTCCGTCACTTTCTGTTTACACTTTCCTCAATGCAGCCTTAAAATAAGCTGCCCGGCATGACGGCGATTCGCACGCCCGCAATATTGCCAGTGGCAGAATCAGCAGCAGGGGCTTGTGGCGCGCCGTGCCTGCTCTCCGCCCTGCTATTCAAGCACTGATCCGGGGCAAACACGCTTGGCAAGCATTCAGCATGATCAAGCTTCCGCCATATACCGTATGCTGTCAACACAAGCTTCAGTTGTTTCCGCGATGGTGCTTCCGTCAGCTGGAAGCTGCCGCCTCTGTTGCGCAGATCCATACGGCCGTCCGATGAGGTGAGCCTTCCGATCGGACGGCACCGTACTGCAGTAGGGTGCACTTCGTAAAGCACCGCATTTAGTGAGCGGGATCATCCTGGAAAGTCCGAAGACGTCATCCAGCGCCGCCGTCACCGTATCGTACGATTGGGCTGGATCGGACGCCGCCCGCCACCGCCTTTGAAGTTTGGGCCGTCCGAATAGCTACCTATTGCGTGACCGACGATGCCCGTCCGTTCAACTCCGTTGCCAGCGATCAGGTAGCCTAACCTAGAGCAGCCCTTAGAATAAGGCTAGATGCACTGCCTAGCGATGTTAACGCAACTGCGCCGTTGCGGGATACCGTACCTTGCTTCCGACAACCGGGTGTTACGGTGCCAACTCTCTGCGGACACTTTGTCAAACCAGTAGCGAAGGTGCCATTGGCGCAGTCGAGTCCCGGCGTTGCAGGACGTTCATACGGAACCCAAGCTTCTGCAACGCGGCTAACGTTGAGCTCCTCGCGCTCAGAAACTTTCGTAAGCTTCTAAACAGCAATCTGCTTTCATCATAACAGCTGACGGACTGCTGTTCGGCCAGAGCAACTAATTCCTTTAGCAGAACGGTCGCCATGGCCAGCCGCACCAAGGCCTTCCATGCTAGCCTCCACGTGGCATGCACCCTTCTCTTTGTTCTGGTTTCCGTTACTAACGTCTGCGGTGTGCTGGCAACGAGCCCGGATCCCGCCTTGTGCCCTTACGAGCTGGGCTACAGTCCGGTCTTCAACGCTGATGGGAGCCAGCTCTTCTGCACGAAAGGTGACAGTATATCGAGCTTATTTCTACTATGCTTGAAGAAGCTCTTTCTTCAGTAACGAACTGTACACACCAGAAAATTTTTGTTGCATTTTTGGAGTCCACTACAGGCGGCAGTCCCCTGCTATATATCCGCAGGTCAACTTAATGTAGGACGCGTCAATTAACAGTTTGAGCAGCTTGAGCAGTGGCCTCGCTTAAACAGCCTTATTTGAAAAGCCCTTTGGAGATCCTGGAGCTGTTCATTGTAGAAAACTCTCCAACTCGTTATTCACTACACACGAGTTGCAAGCAGGCTTGGACGAAGGAGTGCCCTTCAACCAAACGATTAGTAACGGCTTTTCTTGTCCTGATGGATCTCTTCTAGACAGTGCCCACCGTACATGCTCAGCCTGGTCTGAAGTACTGACAATAAAAATTGCGTGCACAGATATTCAGATAAGTTTGCAGTTTAGCCCTCAAGCCAAGCCTTCATGAGTTGTGTCCCTTCAAAAAGATTAGGCTGTCTGAGCTCGCACTGCTTTCGACCTTTTAAACCTCAATACAAGAATATACTCAACATTCCTAACGCCACCTGTAGTGCAGGCGCTGAGACCTTCACGGTCGACGCAGCAGGCGCCAATGCACGCGCGCTCCGCGGCGTCGGCCAGAGCTCTCTCGCCTTGGCTATAGGAGCAGTCAATAGGGACTTTGCTACCTTCGACAAGTACGTGGCGAACGATGCGACGTTTGTCCAGCCACCCGGTGCGCCCAGTGCCGGGCAGACCGTTCCCAACTTTGACCCAGCTCTGGAGGCGTTCAACCGCCCGTTCGAGTTCGCGCCAGGCATCGACGTCAATGCAAACATCGACGTGAGTCTTCTTCATCTGCTGAAATGAGCAAGCTGATCATGAGAGGAATCCTTTTGCCTACTTAAACGTACCAGGCAAGATTGTTTATCATTGGCTTCCTTCCAGATTCAAACCCCTCCTCAACATGCATATGTGAAATTCGAGCATGTCGCGACACTTCAGGAATAGTGAGCTCAGGGAATAGTAAGCTCAAACCGAATACTAGAATCCTAACCTATAGAAACAACCCGCTCCGCACCCGAACCCACCCTAACCCCCAAACTAATTAACCCTACCCGTCCCAGGCTGGTGATCTCAATACTCCTTGAGCTTACTATTCCTGAAGTGTTTCGAGATGAAACGAGCTAGGTCTATGGGCATGCTTCTGCAAGCGTGGACGAGATCGGGCAGAAGCTTCCTTTGCCTTCATCTTGCCTCACACTCTTTTAGTCTGGGAGGATGCTTCGCCATTTCATCCAAGGCCAGCCGCTTTGATAACGGTGACCTTAGCCGCCGGACTGAAAGACGGCTTCGTTTGCATCCTTGATCTGTTTCCCAACTTCTTACAGCAAAATTTAGAAACAAAAGCGGGGCCTGAATCAGAAGAGTTTTTCCCTTTGAACAACGCGTTCTTGTGCCGGCTTCTCTTTTGCCGTGTATGGTCCCTCGCTTTGGGCATCTAATGCTCACCCCTTCTCTTCTGTCATGCCAGGAACTACGCTCAGCCTTGTTCGTAATGAATGCCGCCCTTTTTTTCAATCCTGCCAGGTCTCTCGCTTCGGCTTCTTGGGCGGGGACCCTCTGAGCGTGTTCGTCCACATCAAGGAGCAGACGCTCAACTTTGTGCTCGAGTATGACAGCATCTGGCGCATGAATAACGTCAGCGGAGGCCAGAAGCTGTGGCAGCTGTACCGCGCCGCCTTCAACCCGAGCATCTTCAAGCCGTAGTGATCAACAATGCCAGCTTGTATCGATGCATAAGATTGTGATATATGACCACTCAAGCATAGCGGCTCTTGATCCCGTAGACTACAGGAGAAAATCTGATGCGGAGAGGTTTCAGGGGGGATTTGAATACCATTCTAAAAGTAACGGCTTAATCATGTGTGGAGGATAGCTCTTGTCAGCTTACTGGCTACTTATTGACGTACGCGATAGGGTAAGACGCCCGTCCATTGGGACATAGGCTATTAAGCTTCGACTACCGAGATTACATATAATTTCTGAGCGCTTTCCATTCACATGCTGGAATCACTGATAGAGCATGTATTAGTACCAATCAAGGACGTCAGCATATTATTATTGCCTGTCGGATAAAAAGACTTTACTGGACGTATGCCAGATCAGCCACGACGTATACTTGATCAGATGCAGCCAGCAATACGTTGATGCGGCCCGCGATGAATTGCCCTTGCCGACGTTTGCTGAACAGAGCTCAGAAAACCATGTTGGTTTTTGCATGTTATCCAAGCAGGTGGAGATTTCGCCCACGTAGGAAAGTGGCCCCAATTGTTACGACTGCCCTTGAAAATGAGGCACGATGCAATCAAAGGCTAATCGTGCTTGTCGGAATCGCATCATTATGCTTGCGAAGTAGATTCGCGGAACATCTTATATCCGGTGTCCGGAGTCCGGTCATGCCAAAATACTCGTGCTAGAGTAGTTTGATAGGACGTCGCACCGGCACGTCGTCTATCCTGAGTGCTTCAGTCAACAATGACAATGAAGTAGTCCCTGGCAGCCTTACAAACGGAGTAGCTATAATTACAAGCATATCTGGCTGCCCCAATATGCGACTCTCTTTCTGTATAGAATCATTTCAACCAGGGTTAAGTACTTCCTGCACACACAGGGAGGATTGGTCGTCTCCTCCCGGGAGGGAGAAGAGGGGGA